TAACTTTTTGTAATAAAGTTTATACCTATCTTCAATCGTTTTAAAGCTATTTGAGTTTATAATGAAATTCACTAAATTAATACACTATTATTTAGTCTCTAATTAAATGACTTATTCAAAATTAACAGTTCTGGAAAGATTATATGTTTTGCAGACGACACCCTCATATTATAGAAAGCTGATGACTGGAGCACACTGAAGCTAATAGCTGAAAAGGATTTTATAAGGATTATTGACTGGTTTGATAATAAAATTTTAACAGTTAACTTCAAAAACACAAAACTTATTGCATTTACATCCTATTCAAAATTTTTACCTACCTTCAAACAAATTTCCGTTAATTATCATGGCCAAAAGACCAAAATCGATACACCTTGAAATATCTTGGAATATTTATGGACTCACATCTGAGGTGGAATAACCATATTAAATATGTTATCAAAAAAATTATAAATGTTGTCTATAAACTCAAAATGCTTGCTAACATTCTTACAGAAAGTTATCTGCGAACCCTGTACCATGCCTTAGTTGAAACCCATATAATATACGGCATCATAACCTGGGGTGCTGCCTGCAAGACATATATTTCTGACCTGAATATAGCACAAAAAACTGTTTAGAAAGCCATTTTGCATAAGCCAAGATCATATCCGACGAACAACTTATATCAGGAAACAGGGATAGTTGATACAAGACAACTTGATTTCTTACATGCCACCACCTTATACCATAAGTGTTGTAATGAAAAAAAATCACACACGAGCATGAAACACACGATATCGAATAGGCTCATCTAATATCCAAAGACCACAGAAAACATTATTCAAAAAATCATTTAAGTTCTTAGCAGCTAAATTATATAATGTAGTACCAAACGAAATAAAAATACTTACTTATGGAAAAAAATTTAGACGAAAATTGAAAGACTGGGTCTGTACTGTGCAGCGAATGACTATACACAATTATATAGAAAACTAAAACTACACGATTTCAATTATATTAATACTTATTAGAATTAACAATAATTGTTTTACACATATGATTGATTGTTAGTTATTAAGATATAATCCACACACAGGCGATGCCTTCTGTGGTTTTTTCATATTTGTTTGCCCAGTTTTTGTATTTTGGCGAATAAATATTATTATTATTATTAACAATGGAAAGCACGGCAAAAAATAATAATCATGGATACTCGCAAGAACATTTATCATCAGTTAGTGTCATCATATGTCATAGAAAAACCTTTTTTTCATTTCAAATTGTTAAGTTAGCTGGCAAGTTGTGATAAATATTGAACAATGACTCATACAATTCAAGAAAGGGTAGAAATAACAAAACTGTATTACCAAAATGGGTTACTGCCTAGTAATATTAACAGTAAGTTTGTGGCTAAGTTGATGAGAAAATTTGAAGAAATTGGATCAGTGTCTATACTGGTATTCTCCGTAATCGCTATCGACAAAATCGACTAGTTAGAACCAAACCAACAACCAAAGCTCTGGCTACTTCTTCAGGATTTACATGCTCAACAGTACAAAGAATGTTTTTCTGATAATCTTGTAGTGTTTTTTTTTTTTGTAAAGCAAAGGTACTAAAAGCAGCGCAGTTTTGAGTGAAAAAAAAAAGTCTCCAAACTTCGTTTCATGAATTTCTGATAATTTTATGATAGGCAATAAGAGTTTTTGATGGGAATCATAACCACTGGGAAAATTTCAAGCTTCTAGGGGTTCTGGATTAAATGTATTGTAATTCAGATAACCATTCTTAATTAAGATGCAGATATTACTGAGACGTTTTTACTAACATTTGGAATTTAGCTCATCTATGATCATGCAGGTGGAAACCTTGCCTTGGAATGTACGAGATCCGGTGTTGCCAAACGAACCAATGATGCAATGTTGCAGAATTTTTGGCGATCCTGACCTTTCATTTCGACCTAAAATGGAGCGCCGTTAGAACCGATCCGGAATCGATCCTAAGCAGATTCGACACAATTCAAAAATGTGTACGCTCAAAATAAAACCATTATTTGGACGTAGAGAGTAAACTAACGCACATTTTCAGCATGCATCTCAATTCAAGGAATTGGTGAAACGCATCGGCGACACGGCAGACTGCCGCGTCAGCGTTGCTAAGCAACGCGGTGATGAGATTCGCTATCCAGCAGGCTTCTATCTCTTTCTAACATACGTGTCTATACACACTTTTCTCTCGTACAAATTGAGCTCAAGAAATCAGACAAATTTGGATTTCACTGTAAGGGGACCTAGGTTGCCTGGTACATCAGCTGGACGGGCCGCGGGTTCGAATCCCACCCTCGGAAATAACATTCCGAGCGATGGATGTAGTGGTGATTGTCAGACTCATTTGAGTGGATTTCATATTAAATCAGTGTCTCTGGTACGGCTTCAAGCCAGACTACCCAGAACACTTCAATTGAGCTGGTTGATTGTGAGAAAATCGCGAATGAATGATCTCAGTATATATATATAACATATGTTAGTTATCTGTGATCTGAAGTCAAAGCAATGGCCATGATGCCAGCACATATTTGATAATAAGTTTTTATTATAACATATAACCTGGCTCACAACAGCATAGCTAGACAAATTTTATGAGGATGACCATAACTTAAGCCATAAGTGCTAGTACATGAACAAAAAAAAATAGCTGATTGTACACATCCTTTTCTGACAAACAAACTAACAACACCAGCATATTAAGCAAAGTCAGGGAACATGCTCATATGCACATTGAGGAGAACAGTTGGAAAGGGATCCACAACAGGTCAAATGTAACAGTTCTCTTCACTTCATGTCCCAATTCTGAGCATGCACCTTTAAGGTGCAGGCTTTCTGCTGGTTACCAACCACATCTTTTGGATGGTATTGAAATATTCACTCGATGTCTGTTATACATATTGTGAAACATCGAATTTAGTTCTCTTCAACTGCAAGCAGTGGTAGCTTTAAGAAAGCCTCGAAGTTTATTCTGCCTCAGGCTCTGCACCTGATTTAAGCTTTTTCACTTTTTTCAAATAAAATGTATGCTAGTCATTTGGGAGTAGAATGAGGAGTAAGGAGGATATAGCAAGGTATATAATACAAAAGAATCTTCAGTAAGTACGAAGCTTTTTATTGCAGTCATGAGAAGTAATTTCAAAAGGTTGCGCCATATAATTTTCGTTTCAAATCATGTTAATAAGCATGTTCATCAAAAACTTAAATTATAAATTCTAGGGTACAGGTACAATACATTCCATAGTAATTGTAATTGTAATTTATGTTAATGAGATAGCGTTTCTTCAAATATTCTATTAATGAAAATTTCATTTAAAATGGTCTGACGTCACGAATGAGAAGGCAAATGATAAAATTGCAACTTAAACTGGATACTTACTGTGACAATTATTCCACCACAGTATGTCAATCAAACGGCACTTCCTTTAATTCACGAAAATATTAAATTATCTCTCTAAACTTCTTTTAGGATTTTAAATGCACAAAATCACAAATACAATAATATCACACTCCACCTCACTTCACGCTCACGAAACACGAAATAGCGGAACTGTGATATGTGAAATGACATGACATGTGTCTGTACATAGCGCATAGAACAGCTCAGATTCTACTAGCGAGTGAGAGGAAAGGGAGGCGTGGCTTAATGCCTAGGGGTGATTAACTTGTTCCTTTTCCAGTGGCGTATCTAAGAAAGGTCCTCGTCGCAGGGCTGTTAGTGGAGTCTCTTAAAATTATCAGAACGTTCTAACAGATAAAATAAAAAATCCATGTTTGAAAACAAGCCTTTATTTAGCTGTCAAGAAAGTGAGTTCAAAAATTTAAAAATATTTTCTTCTATTTGGATTAAATATTTCTAATCTGAAATCACGATTTATAAATGTTTAGGTCATTTTGTCAGCTATATAAAAGCTTGTTCTAAAAAATTTATTTTTGAGACAATTATTGAATTATACTATACTAGACTCTAAAAGACTATCTGAAGAGATTTTTTTCTCGAAATCGTTGTACATCGCTTGCAAATGAAGATTGGAAAACTGCTACTTTTACGTGACTCCGTCGTTACGTTACCTAGCCTAGCCTATCGGACAACTTTGTTTCCTCTGCTATTTTGCTAGCATGTTATAAAAAAAGAAACTTTAGATAAAATATTGAGGGATACCAATGGAGATATATAATATCTGAGGCGTAAAAAAACTGTTATTTACATTTTGCGTCGTCTGGCGTCTATGCGGCGGAACGTTAATGTCTCTGAACACTTTTATAAATGCCCAGTTTTATAGAATAAAATACTTTTTGAACAACAATTGGAAAAAACAATGTTTTATTATATAAATATATTTATTAACTATTTGATCTAAAATTACATGATCATTGATAGGAGAAGTACGATTTTCATTTTCTCTACTTTTTATTAGGGGAATATGGTTTTTTAGTGACTGCATTCGCACTTGGGCGAGGAAAACCTCAACCATCACTGCTAAGATTAATTGTATCAGGTGAATAAAAATTAAGTCGTTCCACAATTCTAGCATCATTTGTAAAATCGAAAATCGCCAGCATGATACAGTTATTAACCTAAAAAAAATTAGCATTGAAGTAACGGTTTATACGAGAGTCACTTTTTAAGTAAGAGCCGTTTTGTAATCCAGTCAGAGAAATTTTATTTATGAATGTAAATTGTATCACAAAGTAAAAACTGAACCTTTTTTCATTTTTCAACATAGCTACCATAAACATTCGAATACAAGTCAAGTCGTAGCACCAGTCTTTGTGTTAATGTAGCATCTGAAACTTATCCTGTGGTTTTCATGACGGCGACTATTTCCCTTGTCTTAATTTCTATCAATCACAAACGCGCAATTTTGATTTCGGCCGGGTAGTACAGCCACGCCCCTTTCCAGCTCCCACTCCGCGCGTCTGCTCCCAGTCAACGTAAGCACCGAGTCGCTTCGTGATACTGTCAGATAAGAAAACGCAGACGGGCGGAGTGGGAGCTGGAAAGGGGCGTGGCTGTACTACCTGGCCGTACTGTATCGCCGCAGCAAGGTACAGCACTCACACGCTTCAGTCTCTCGGCAACTGTCGGCGCGGCGGAATGTCCACGCATTCACAGCTCCGTACAGAGCTATATTCGGTTAAACTATTTTTTTAGTAGTGGTGTTCACTATAGGGTTCTCGATTGTCTCTCAGTGGTGTTTTAGTGTTGTGATATGGGTGTCAAGTGTCTCCAAAGTGGAAATTAGGTCTACTTTCAACTATCCTGAAGGAAACAGGATACATGTGCAGCATACTAGGTGAGCCTTGCATACTCATTTACTTGTGTGTTAGAGTTGACATCCTGTTTTTTTTTAATAAATTGCGCACATTGCATACATTGAGAGATTAATCATATACTGAGGTATTTTGGAAAGACTAAAATTTGGCCAAATCGTTTTTATTTTTGACTGACTTTATTTTAAGAAAACTCAAAGAACTAATGGCACTAGATGATGGTGTTTTAAAATGTGCTCGGAGTGCACAACATTTTGAAAAAGTACGACCCTGTATCTAATAGCATCTTTTTATACGACTTCAACGAAGTTACACGTTTGTTTTTTTTATTTATAAACAAACTCTCCTATTGTGAAGTTATGTTTTCTTTTTGAATTGTAGGAAACTTCAGGCTGATAAAACATCATATGAATCAAAAGCATAAACAGTTTGATGCAAATAGATATTTGTGACAACCTCAAAATAGGGCGCTGACACGGAAAAGTAGAAAACTATTAAAATCAAGGAGGCCATAAAGGCGTCCTACAATTGTAGGAACGACTGACGATACGGCCCTTAGTAATTAAAGAAAACAAACGTGTTTTAATATTTAGGTTTTAATGAGATGGCAACAATGAAAATGCATGCAGTACCAGACTCGTCATCATTCTGCGTCCCTTTGTGGATTCCTCAATTTGGATGACAAAGAAAATGCAGTGGAGACAGCAGCTACATAAAGTCCCACAATTATGAAAGATATACTAAGGATCACCGGATACGTTTTTTTTGTATGTTTCACTATCTGGCTCAAGCAACCATCTGGATAAATTTTATTATCTTTTCCTTTGCACGAATCAGGAATTGTAATATTCATCTTTATCCAGTACAAAGAATCATCAACTCCACAACATTTGTACATTTTTTGTAGTTCATCTACGTATTTTTCGTCATCCTTATTTTCGGTATACTTGTCAAATGTTGCAATTAATTCTTCTCTCTTGCTATCTTCTAGTGTCACAAACGCATAGATGCTTATTATTACAGCAATTATCACAAATACCAGAAAAACAATGAGTGCATAAGCACATATACGTAAAATTTTTGGTTTTCTTAGTATGCTTCCGAATATTGCTGCTAGCGCAACACCACATACTATAAGTCCCAATATGATCACAAATATCAAACTGTAATCGATTTCCTCAGTTAATTCGGCTGCAACTTTCACTATTTCAAGGATGATTATAAAAATATTCAATGCTATCACGATAATTCTCAAGGTCTTTTCGCTACACATTCTCGATGGTATTAGTACTTTACTCCGTCCTATGTAGCTTCAATTTTTGTCCATTCCACTTATATTAGCACTTTTATATAAATATTCGTCAGCTTACTTCAACCGTTGATGTATTGAATGACAAATATGTTACAACGCGTCAACTATACGTCATTTGGTAATAGAGAGTTTTGAGTATGCTTGGAAATAATGTAACACCATGGAAACAATAACGCATCCTTGAGGGACGTTCACGTTGTGCTAAATATTGCTACTACACAGTAGACCAAGTTCGCAAGCTCACAAGGCCGCTGCTCGCACTGTGAATAAAATTAAATTGTCGGACTTTATGTCCAACCAAAAACAAAAATTATATTGAACAACAAATCTCTAAACTAATTATAATTTTGGCATCATAAATACTAAAAAATACCCCAAATAAAAAAGTAGATAGGTGTGTTGTGTTTTTCTATTTACTAGTAGACCTAAAACTTGTGAAAGTATGCTCAAAATTACAACACTCCTAGTCGGTGTTGTTTTTCCTATGTCATTTAGTATATTTATTTATTTTCAGATATGGTCCATACTAACTACCATTTCACTATGTCCGGAGCACCCTGAATGTACCTTTACTGAAATTAGTGTCATAAATGAAAGATGTATCTTGACATAAAGGTCATGTAAGTGAGAATTATTTTGTAGTAGATGGATTTCTTCAGAAAATTCAGCCACGCATTCCCATTGTTCTTCCTGTTCTTGTCAGCATACGCTCAGGAGATCACATTTGACGAGGGACAAGGATGTTTCGACAAAGATCGCGCCAACACTTTGGTTTTGATCAGCCATACGTTTCCTGATGCCTTTTGTAGTGGTAATATATTATTTAACCTCTATTCATACAAATAACATTATAAAACCATTTAGAAAAGGACTATCTGACTGATACGAGCTCTGTAAATTAAGTGACACAGGCAACATAATATTCGATCTGGTAACTCTGGAAGTGCCGGGCTTGGAGGGAAGACAGGGGAACATGAGATCTGCCTTTGGTACAAGTTTGAACTCGCTGGAGCCATTTGGTTGACCGTAGCAATTTGTTTTGTGAACCAGTTTTTTCTATTGTGTTCTAAAAATGAGATAGAATCGCGTTTCGTCGATGAAGATGACATTATGCCATCCTGCTTCCCAATGTTGCCGTTATCTGCTCCAGTTTGCTCCTCTGACGTGGCGTTCTAGGGCTGCTTGGCGGATCCGCTCCCTGGTCTCCATTCTTGACCGAATTCTCTGAGAGAACAGCGGATAGGAACGCGTTTTTTTCCCTGCCATGGGCAGAGCTTTTGACTCTTGATCAGCATTTGTTTTATTTTTTTTTGTTTGTTAATGATTTATTTAGCATTGATGCTACAATGTCAATTTTGTATAATTATACGTTAACACATTTTTTTTAATTAATTTTCTGTAATTTTACGGTCTTGTCTATTGAAAGTACATCACTATGCATTTTGTGTATTCATAAAGTAATTTTTTTTTCTAAACGCTGTTTAAGATCATTACTCAATTTGTTAAATTCAAATACTAAAATTACAATTTTGCAGATTAAAATCTATACTTCCTCTAGTTTCGCAACTATTAAATGTGGTGGTAATAAATGATGTTTGGATATGAAAATGAGGATCAAATAGCATACACAATACAGGGCGTCCGCAAAGTTGGGGTTTTCCTTTACACGACGTGTAGATCTTGAAAACATAAGCAATTTTTCTTAGTACCATATACAGCAATGTCTTAAGGGAACCGAGATAAAGGGCTCTGCAACATCAAAAATATCTGAATACCGTCCTGTAGCCGCGACCCGCGATATCACCGACTGGTACAAGGTCACTGGCTCAACCCGACGACAGAACTGGGTCGGGGTCAGTGTGTCAGGTCAGTATGCAACCTTCAACCGACGGTTACGATTACGCGTGTAGAGGTAAACGATTCCGTATAATCGATTGCGTTTCAAAAAACATCAAGCACTAGAGACGTGGCTAGAGAAGTGCAAGTATCAAAAACTAAAGTGTGGCAAACGCTGCGTGAATAGGGGCTGTATCCGTTTCACGTCCAACGTGTACAAGCCCTTCAACCTGACGATTTTCCAGCAAGAGTGCGGTTTTGTGAGTGGTTGTTGCATCAACATGACAATAATCCGGACTTTTTGAAGTGCATATTGGTGACAGATGAATCTACGTTCACGCGTAATGGGGTGAATAACTTTCGCAACACTCATGTTTGGTCAGTAGAAAATCCGCACGCTGTCCGTCGGGCACATTTTCAACAGAAACATTTTCGGTGAATGTTTGGGCTGGCATGGTGAACGGTATGCTCATTGGACCATTTATTCTCCCAAATCGATTGGACGGGATGCAATACCTAGACTTTTTATGCAACATTTTGCCTTCCTTGTTAGAAGATGTGCCATTAAGTGTAAGACAATCAATGTGGTTTCTGCGTCTGCTCGGTAGCGCATCAGCTGATTTCATTTTCTGTTGGAGCGGTATGATTTTGGGCAGAGACGTACTTAGCCCTTCTCGTCAACTAGAGAGTGAGTACTTTTTCCTTTATTTTTTTTTACTTGGTCGCCCTCGTTTCACTACACATTACCTTTGTTATTTCAAGGGTAGTTGTTTCTGAAAAGGAAAACCCCAACTTTGCGGACACCCTGTATTTTACATTTAACCACTACAGTTATTCTAACATAGACTTAATCGTAGCTTAAACGTTATTTACTTTGAGGAATTTGTTTTGATAATATGTGTTCATTCGCTGTAAACGAGATGGTTGTATAATATAAAAAATGTGGAAGGATTATAGTGTTATAAACAATTTTTTTTACTAAAATAGGTACAATCATCAACGCAGCATTCATACTAACTGCAGCTCATTGTGCCAGTAGAAAGCAATTATATGTTTACCCGGGACTTGCTTTCGAATACATTGCAATGATGAAAGAAGAGGAAGCAAATGGCAGCAAGTAAGTTATTTGCATAATTAAAATAACATTTAAAGAAAAAACACATTCGACAGCAGAGGAGTGGTTTTGAGCAGCTGGGCAATTTTTTATCAGGAGACTATTGAAATGCCAGAAGATGAAGAGTTTTGATGGTAGTAGGGAGTATGTAGTAAAATGAAAATTCAAATTGAATGTAACTTTTTCGCAAATACGTCAGGTTTCGAGCATAGGGATCAACCCTCGTACAAATAAGATTTATACAATTCAAAATTAATTTTTGTCAATTGCAGAGTAGTGGACCAACGTATTCATCCAAAATATGATAGAAAAACATTAGCCTACGACATAGCAGTGTTCGAAGTAGAACCAAGGATATCTCTAGATTCGGAATATACTGGTGTTGTCTTTAATGCCTGGCTACCAAGTATTGATATGGGGTAAAGTATCATTCAACAACATATTTTATTTTTATTTCGCATAAAACCAAAAGAGAAAGTTTTTATGTTGTTCCCAACGCCGTGCGCGACGCTAGGCGAAATCTGGCAACAGCGTCGTGTTTGTCGGCTCCCCCACCACCGAACCCAACAAAAAGCGCCTATGTTTAGTACAATAAATTGTAGATTATGATTGCCACGTTTTCTCCTGTATAACATGGCATAATCAGAATTTCAATTTGACGATTCATCTCTTGTCCTCCAGCATCAACTTTAGTTTTTCTTATAGACGCTATATTGGATTTTTGCACAGATGAATAGCTTTCAATTCTGATTCCAAAAATTAAGATACGTCATAAATTGATATTGCTAAACCTTAGTTATTCCAGGAAAAAAATAGAAGTTCCTAGGCATGTCTTGAAATTATCAGATCTCATTTGTTTCGTATACCAGACCAGACCTAAAATTGAACATAGCAACAGAATTCCGAAGGTTGAGAAGAAGATAAAGAAATCGAAAAGTGGATGGATCTATTGTAACTACATACCAAACATTCATTTTTACCTCACATCAGAAAAGCTGATTGGGATTGAATATTCTACGTATATCCGTTGTGAAAAGCCTAAGCCAGTGTCGAGTGGAAGTTATAAAAAAGTCAAATTATCTTCATATTTGCAAATTTTTACAGTGAAGACATTCGTGAGTACGCCGAGTGCACCAAGGACTCTTACGTGATGGGATGGACAAATTTTGTTGTGAATACGACCTCAGCCGTTGCAATGTGTACCAGATCAAAGATCATGGCGATGGATGATTGTCAGCACAGTTACGGGATGTACGATGTGACCGATCGAATTTGTGTCAAAAAGAAATCGGATCTATGTCTGAATGCTGGTGGAGCAGTCATGTGCAATGGTCAACAGGTCGGAGTCATATCCTATGTGCACTGTGAGATAGGTTAGTATGAGGAGCCACAAGATGCAATTTTATATTAAATTATTTAAATTATTAATTTCGAGCCATCTTAAATCTTTGATTTGGGGCCGTTCAAGTATTACGTAAGCAGATTTATTACAATTATTTACCCCCCCATCCCCCTTGTCAGCAAACGTAAGCAAAGCTCTTACCCCTCCCCCAATGCTTACATAAACATTTGTCAATTAATGTATTGTTTTTTTTTAATATTATAATTATACTTCGAATTAGCGATGTATGTTGGTCCAGAATATCCAACGGTTTGCGGTTGTCCTAGCATATTGGAAGTGATTTTGATACCAGCATAAACAGATGGTATTAATTTATGACGCTCAACGATTACCCAATCGTGATCAGGCAATTGCTTCTATATTCCGTGTGCATTAGAAGAGGTGCTTGCTTATTTGCCGCAGTTACGCCAATAGGGACTCGAGCTTTATCATCTTTAGATATGAAAAATACTTGACTGTGGTCCAAGTATGGATGCTATGTTCTCTAAATAATCGATTGATGTTTCAGCGTACTTGCTAAGTGGCTCTTGTGGTGATCAGTTTGAGGCCGACTGAGATTAACAGGGACTGTCGATACATGTCTTCGTCCCTCTGCAGAATTAGATTTTCTGGGAATCAAATGAAGATATGTCCCACTGCGACTAATGTCAAATCCTATTTTACGTAATTCTTGTGCGAGTTCATCAAGGGTTTTTACGCTGCGAATTGATTCCGTTCGTCTTCTGTCATCTGCTGCACTCCCAAATAAAGCTATATCCGCGATTGTTTTCAATAGTGAATGTTGATTGCTTTCAAGATTAGGACGTCCCACTGTATACGTATATATGTATAAAACTAACATCCTGTACTTTGTGACCAATTGACGGAATCAATCATAAGAAATAAATCTATAATATAATGAATATTACCTCTATACTTTGAGATAGGCCATTATATTTTCTAATCAGGAAAGAGAAACTTTTTGGCGATTTTTAATATTTCTAGCACATATAGGTTTCTAAAATGATTTCATCACTCACCTTAGAAAAAAAAATTAGTAGATTGGATCTATTCTTATTCGCCGCTTGCAATTCTTCTTCGATTCTCTTAGATACAATAATATCTAGTTCCTTGTCGGATTTTGCTTGTAAATAGTTTGTAATTTCGCCACACTTCGTTAACTAACTTTTGTACATTTTGTACTTTCGTACTTGTATGAGATTTTTTAAAACTTTCAAACAATTTTTGGTATAACTTGGATTTGTCTATGTGAAACGACATCTAATTTAAACATTAAACTTTGGCTAATGGAATCAATGGTAACACAAATGTTAACTTGCTTTACTATGCTTACAATACGTCTACTCGCTATAGTATCCAAACGAAACAATACACTGATAGACGAAATTTAGACAAGTGAACACCGGGCGGTAATTCCCCTATTCGGTTCTAAATCGAGTAGGGGAATTACCGCGCGCTGTTCACTAAACGTATGCATTATTTGCGGGAATCCCCGAAAATGCGTTTAGTTTAGACAATGTGAGGGTTGTCATTCGTGTAAAAAAGTAAATAACTACCGATAACGTAATCATCATCTAGACTCCCCTATCCCCCATGTCATCCAAAATGAGCAAAGCAAAGACACATACATCATTAAATTTTAAATCTGAGCTGGATGTTTTCAGGTCAGGGCTTGCTTTTAGATGTCTCCATTTATCTTTTTTGCAAAAAAGTACATTTGACTTTTGGGGATTGAGTTGAAGGCCAATTCTCAAAACAAGGGAGTAGAATAATTGGGACCCTTCGGGAAACTCTTTTCTTTAGAAGAATTTTGTGACGAAACGTTTATTGATATGAAGAATCTAGGAACATACTAGTTTGCCGAAAATGGACGGTTTCTTAAACTTACTTCAAAGTATCCCTAAGTGCTGTTAGGTAGTAGAACTCGTTCTACTGATTATTCTACTCGCTCATCAGATGCTATCAAGGCTGACGTCAACGGGACGTTTTGCACGTTCGTCTAACACGACGTCAATAATAGGATGTTCGTCGTTTATTCTAAAATCGCAAACATTATTATCTTTTTCAGAAACAATTCGGAATAAAAAAATTACAGCAAAATTGGCGCTGCTTCCAGTGTTCGGATGGATTGTAAAAATTTCAACAGTGGTTAACGCAATAAGTTCTGTTGTTACCGTGGTGAGGAAGGGGGTAGATTATATTATATCTTCAAAAAGAGGTAAGTTGGAAATAGCAAATAAGTGTTGTGTCGAATCTCAGAAATAGATGCGGGCTCCCGTAGTTCCTCTACTCAAAAAATCCGGTTGTCCCCTTTGCATACCTTAGAACATCTTTCACGCCCAGCTAGTCATAACTTTTTACACTCCTCTTGCCCATGTCTAATCTGCTCCTCCCGGGAAAAAGTCCTGCGGGCGCCCATCGTCACAGATACATCTATCTATAATGTATCCGAATCTCATTTGCTCCCCGCCAAAACAAACATAAGCGCCATGTTTACATTTCTGGGCTCCTATTGGCTAGCGGGCTCTGAACACCTGAGCGTGGCACTGACAAGCAAATGGAAGCGCCGAGCCAGCGTTGCCAGATTGGTCAGACAGAATTCCAACAAAAATCTCCCAGAATTGCAACTTTTTCAAACGTATAGCTCTATATCTTTCATGACTGTGGATACAGGTCTATCAACTTACAATTATTATTATAATTGTTTAGATAGGTGCGAGTGAGACCAAGGGCTATAGAAAGACAAAATTGTTATTCAAGAGTGTGGTTAAAAATAGAATAACCCAAAAATACCCAAAGGTCGTATTTTTCTCCCAAAAAATCTCCCAGTATATTTTATCCCACAAAAACTCCCCAAGGGAAAAATTTTCACTAATTTACGGGAATATCCCCCAATATGGCAACCCTACGCTGATCGAGTGCTCATGATTGTTTTGACACTGAGTAAGGGCCGTATCGTCAGTCGTTCCTTTATGGCGTCCTTGATTTTCAAAGTATTTTCTCTCCTTAAGAAAGGGTGGGGTATTTCTAGATTTCTACTGTTCTGTATCAGCGTCAGCGCTCGTATTGTGAAGTTATGTTTTCTTTTTGAATTGTAGGAAATTTCAAGCTGATAAAGCAGATGATATATATCAAAAGCATGGACAATTCGATGCAAATGGATATTCGTGACTTAACCTTAAAATAGAGCGCTGACACGGAACATTAGAGAACTTAGGGCGTCATACAATAATTGTAGAAACGACTGACGATATGGCCCTTAGACACACGAATAAATGTACTTTTAGCCGTAGATGAACTTCAGGAAAAGCCTTATGTAAGTATACGAATTGATACAGCATACGACTTCATAAATGGCGTTATCGAAAGAAGATCTGCTGCAGAATCTTTTCACAGACTAGACATATTCCTTTTGATTATTTGCTTTTCACTTTTTGTAACTAGAAGAATGATTCAATAAAGTATTTTTTTGTTCTCGATTGATATTTTAACTACAAGCTGGAGTCCATCGTTTCATCAACCAAAATAGGCGACACGTTCTGAGGCTTGACCTCTGAAAGCGGTATGAACTTCATTTTCCATGAAGCTTAACGTGCAGTATTTCGAAATGGTTGCTATAGTCTCCGAGATACATTTTGTATTATTGAAATTCATCTAAATTTTAGCTTTTTACGGTTTTTGACGGTTAATTCACAAAGTCATACAAAATAAGTAAACAGATTGACTAATGGTATCATGTGAGTAACAATCTAGTTTGACCTCTAATATTCATGACTTTCGGATATCTTTGATACATTTAATAAGATATACTTTTACAAATATGCAATGGATATAAACGGGTAAATAATCACCAGATTTGGTGGTAAAAATCACTATGCCTGGCAACCCTGATTAATTTGTAAGCGCATCGATTGTGACGTGGAAATAAGAGGGTTGTGTAAGTCTGGTTGCCTATAGGTTCAGCTTGACGCAAATATGAATAAAATTTTCGGCTTGGTTGTATTGGAAATTGAGCGTCATTTGTTCTGTGATTAAGGTAGTTAATTGAAAATTCAAATTTTCTGACGGGAGTATAAGAAAAAATATTCTCGCGCGTCTTTGACGCTTTGAGCAAATTTGTCAAATACACTTTTTAACGTACAAAATCAGAGAAAAGCAGTTTCATTTGATTGAAAGGAGATGGTACCTGCTCAGTCGCCGGAAGAGTATTTTCGGTGGGCCTCTTCTAGACAATGTAATCACAAATCTTATTAGTCAATATCTAAAAACCATTAAGCAACTCGCAATCGAGTACTATATTTTATGTCGAAGATAAGCAAAGATGAATACATATAGCACGGTCATTACAAGTTCAAGTTATCATACTGACAGTGACAATCATAAATGCGGTTGACTCATATGTCGCTTCAAGGCTGTGAGATAAGACTAAAAAACTTATATTTACCCCAACCAACAAATTCAGACTAAATAGGTAGAAGGAGAGAGTCTATGATTTGTTTGTGTCCAAAGTCTCAGTCTGTAGTCAGGACGAATGCTCATACTGCAAGTTGATCAGGCTTAAGCCGCTAGTTTGACAATTGTTGACATTTCACACTAAATTGATATTTTTCTAAGAAAACATAAAATCGCGGGGGTTACATTCATTCACAATATCAAAATCTACTCATTTCTCTTCAACATTTGTTCTGCACTATCAATGCGTGTAAACTGGGACCCAGTTCTCAGACAGCGCGGTATTCCGGCTTCTATTCTCATATATGTTTAGATGAAAATTCTGGAGTAGCAAAATACTCGGTTGGAAGATTCTGAAACGAGAGAGGCACGAACGTGTTTTCATATTTCATGTAAATTATGAGATTTTCATTTTAAAAATCTGGAGTCGTACTCAGTTGTACCATTCTAGGTTACGCCACTGTCGAGTGACAGCGAGTGCATTGGAGACAGATCAATGTAGATCGACCAATCAACGACGGGATAGACGACAGGCCTGCCTTTTATAATTATACCTACACCTACCCAAATTGTTTGCATTTTACATCCGCAGGTGATCCACAGTCTGTGGGGAATACATATGTTTTTGTGTTCTATGTTCCACGTGATCGTGATCCCATGATCCATGACGTTTCCCGGGAATTAGGAGGTTATGTGATGCTGCCGCTTTGTTTATTTTGATTTCATGTGGATATCATATTAAAAAAATCAATGATTATCAGTGATGAATTGTATTATACCAGGACCAAACATCAAAAGTAAGACTCGGATACCATTTTGATTGTATTGTTTGAATATTCTTATTTTCAGTACTCTCGAAAGCACTACATGCCTTGGCCAAAGTGGGGGATGAACTTTTCATTGAAGCTAGAAGAGAGAAACTGGTCTTCATATCTTTAAATTTGAGGAAAACAGTTTGCGTGAAGTATTATTTCTTAGATAGCTTCTTTTCAAGCTATGTAGTTGTTGAAGATGCACTGAATGACCAAAATGAAGCCATAACTTGTAAAATACACATTAAAACGATACTACCCCTATTTAAGGGAATCCACTTAGAAAAAAAGGTAATTGAGTGACTTCTAGACACTTAAAGAAAGTAGGTTCTAAGTGTTCCTTTGGAAAAGTTTTAGAATTTGGAATATACATGTGAATCTATAAAAATCTATTACCACTATTTAAATCTTGATATTAAGGGCGTACACAGCTTAAAATGAAAGGGGGGTGGCTTCAAAAGATTTTTGTGGTGGAAATTCCACAAATCATTTTACTATGCTTGATATTCCACTTTCTATTTTGAAACATTATTGTCAATAAGCCCTTGCTTTTGCAGCTCGACTATATTAAGTTAGATCATGAAGCGAACAGTGATAAAATAACATTGAGAATGAAATATAAATGTGATGATATTATAATGATACACAGCTTAAAGCTTATGGAACCAGCTATATTGACTATCGATGTGAAACCTGATTCAGGATGTAATAATATTTTAACAACTAGTTCATGCTATAACCAGTTACTAGGCATGTTCAGTTCTTCAGATGATGAAATCACATTGGAGATTTCGAAAAACAAGATGAATGCAAAGAATTATTGCACAGGTTTGTATTTAAAAAGGCATATGCTTAAATGTTTCTTGTATAGAACCTGCCAGATATATTAGCCCTAACACAAAATTGTTCGGACAATATATAATTTCATCTAAAAGTTAGTTTACTCTTCTAAGGTTAAAAATTAATTGTATTTCTTTTATAAGACTACGAAATATATAGGGTGACGGGAAAATAGATGCGGAGCCAGTGGGGGGAGATAGTACAAGCCAATCTGAGTCGATTTTACTATAGGAACTACTGTCCGAAAATTAGCCGTTTTCGAATTATACTAATTTTATAAAATTAACGTACTTTATATGTTAACCAAGTCATAAAACTTGAAAATGGGGTGTTTCATTTGATTTTTTCTTTGGTTTTACAATAAAATACGAAAATTGATACTCAAATGTACATTATTGACGTTATCTCATGCAGTAAGCTTCAAAATAGTTCAATTTTTGTTAAAAAAAATCTTCGTTCATCTCATAAACTCAATTTACTAGAAACAAACATGTACAAATTTTTCGTGCAAAACAATTTTAAAATATCTACCTTTCATTACCTTTCAAATGAGGTATCAAAGTCACAAACTGGTTTAGAAACGACAAAGATATGAGTGAAAGAAACATATAGAGCCGCGAACATCGGACTTTGCCACCGGAATAGTGTGGTAAGACTAGTCACCCCCCTCCCTCCCTCGCGTCAATCTGCTCTTGCGATCTGTTGCGTTCGGATGTGTTTGTTTGCTCGGTGTTTTGATATTTCTAACCACTTGAATGGAGGTACCAGGTAAGTTTCCGAATCGATGGATCGGTAGAGGCGGACCAATCCCATGGCCAGCACGCAGTCCCGAACTCACACCTATGGACTTTTTTGTATGGGGTCGCATGAAAACTTTAGTATACTCTGATCAAAGTCCTGTACCCACAATAGAAGACATCAGAAGCAGAATAATACATGCGCACAAAAAATTCAAGCCTCTCTTAGGAATTAGGCGGTAGTAAAATCATCATATTGAAAATGTATTATAAAAATAAAAAAATGTAGTTTCAAACAAATTATCCTGTATTAAGGTATGATTTTGTAAGTGTAGTTTTTTTATTGTCTTTTCTTACCTCTTTTTATAATATACTAAGTGACATATAAATCCGAACACCCAGTTTAAATGGTTTTATTTTAATAAAATTTTGTATAAGTACTTAATGAAGCATAATAAGTAAATGATAAAAATTTCAAAATGATTGCACTGCTTTAAAGCCCTTTGACCTTTAATAATGTGTGGATGCACCCTGATGTGCTACGCATTCTCCAACGCGCCTAGGCATGCTTCTGATCAGGTGGTCAATGTCCTCCTGTGGTATCTCATTCCAGGTAACCACCAACTCCTCTCGAAGTGCTTCTAGAGTCTGAGGAGGACGTTGCAAATTGAGCAATCTCCTACCCATCATATCCCACACGTGCTCAATTGGGGATAAGTCGGGAGATCTTGGTGGCCATGGTAACAATGTGACATCATTATGTTGAAAGAAGTCTATTGTGACTCTTGCAACATGTGGTCGGGCATTATCTTGTTAGAAAGTTGGTTCTGCCAGGGTGTCAAGATAGGGTAAAAGATGGGGTTCTAGAACTTCGTGGATATAACGCTGCGCGTTCATGTTACCTATGATGAAGATTAAAGGTGACCTGGAACCATAAGCTATAGCACCCCAAACCATAACTCCAACAGTGTGATGAACATGTCTTTCAACAAAAAACTGTGGATTCCTCCTTTCACCACGTCGCCTTCTAACCCTGGCACGACTATCGTGCATGCCTAAATAAAATCGAGACTCGTCACTAAAGACAATACTGTTCCATTCCTGATCCGAGAGTGACCGTTGTCTGCACCACTCAAGGCGATTACGTCGGTGTTCTCGAGTTAAAGGGAGGACCCAGTGTGGCCGGTATGAAAACAAGCCAAAACTTCTCATTCGTCGGTAAACACTTCGCATGCCAATAGGTCTTCCGTGTTCTGCAAACCATTCATTTGCAATGGACCTGGTAGTGGAGAAACGGTCCCTTAAGGCCAATAATCTTAGGCGGCGATCTTCACGGTCTGTCGTTCTACGGCGGCGTCCAGTGCCCCTTGCTCTTTGCGTACGGCCTTCTCGAAGCCATGCCTAACAACACCTAACCACACTGTCTACACTTCTTTGCACTCTAACTGCAATTGCCCGAAAAGAAAGTCCAGCTTCCCGAAGTCCCACTATACGGCCCCTATCAAACTCACTAAGTTGACGAAATCGTACAGGTCTCCGTACTCTAGGCATCGTAAGCGATCGTAAAGGATGTCAAGAACCAAAATCCGCCAACGTTGATTCTTTACTGCGGCTGAAATATTCATTTTTAGAGCGTTAGTGAATTAAAAAAAAGCAGTATAAAAACCGGAATGTCCAACTGATAAGGCTGAAAATTTTTTCACTTGTTATTTACAGTAAGATAAATACATTCACCAACTTTTATTAAAATAAAACCATTTAAACTGGGTGTTCGGATTTATATGTCACTTAGTATAGTCATATTTTTGCCAATTTTTAATCGATTTGTGATTTTTATACCTCATTTGCAAGGTAATGAAACGTAGATGTTTTCTAATTATTTTGTACGAAAAATTTTTCTGCGACTTTTCCTAGTAAACTGAAGCTTTTGAGATGAACGAAGATTTTTTTAACAAAAAACCTACCATTTTGAAGCTTACTGCATGAGATAACGTCAATAATGTATATTTGAGTATCAATTTTCGTATTTTAGAATAGTTTTATTGTAAAACAAAAAAAGAAATCAAATGAAACACCCAATTTTCAAGTTTTATGACTTGGTTAACGTATAAAGGACGTTAATAAAAACGGCTAATTTTCGGACAGTGTTTCTATAGGAAAATCGACTCAGATTGGCTTCTACTATCTCCCCCTACCGGCTCCGCATCTATTTTCCCGTCACCCTGTATATTGTTTGCAGATCATATTAACAAAACTGTTTTCAAGTAATATGATATTGAAATATAAAATCAAACTAAAATTGATAACAACACAATGATATTAAAAAGAAAAAAATAGCAGGCCATGGAAAGAAAAAAGTGTTTACAATTCTGTTAATCAGTTTGCTTTAAAATGCCGCGCGGTAAAGCAACAAACGGTACAGTCATAAAATAGTTTCATCAACGAAAGAGTTATCAGGATTTTATCACCTGATACAAACATTGTTTTTCAACAAGATGGGGCGTCATGTCATACGGCAAAAACCACGAAAAAATGGTTGCAGGATAATATTTCCATTCTTGACTGGCCTTCCAGTAGTCCTGATTTATTTATCAAAACTGTGTAGCACAAAATGAATCAGCAGTTAGAAAATGATCATCAATTTTTCGTAGGTGCACCAGTAAAACCTAAACATGTTCGAAGCCAGGTAAATCTGAATGGATCAGAGTTCAGTATTTTTGAAATCAAGGCTGAGACTGTTGTTAATTTTTCTTTGAAACCATTTCGAACTGCTATACAGTTTGCGGAGGGATTGAATATGAACATAGGGCTGAATTTTGATAAAGGAGGACGGTTGGTATCATGTCTTATAGTAAAATTGTACAAATTAATATTTAGGTATTTAAAGTTTCATTCTATTTCCAGCCCTCTTGCCATCATCATGAAAAATCCGACATTTGAAGTAATTTTCATTGTCGCGACTTTGAATCCGTACAGTGATTTACATAGCACCTTATCGACAGGCTCTATTCCCGCCAAAATTACGCAACTCAATGGAGAACAATTGAATTTGTCTCAAGAGGACAGGGACGCTTTGATGAACGAGAACTGGGATGACTTTAACGTAGAAGAGAAAATTTCTAATAAAGGAAAGGGCAGAAAGAGAAATAACAAATTCATGTCCATTGTTGAAAAGGCAAAAAGTAAATCTAGTGACAGTAATCGAGAGGTATCTCGAAAAGGTGATGAAGTAAATGATCTGTCGGAGCCTGAAGAATCTCGCGAGGCAGTTGAAGAAGTTTTGGAAGCCTCGCAACGTTCTTTGTCGCCAGTGGCGAAGAAGGCAAAGTTGGTTTTTAGGAGATGTCTGGAAGCAACGTTTAGGCCCAATTGTTTAGGTGATGTTATTGCTCCAAACTCCGATTCAGAGTAATATTTTTCAAAGAATAACTAAGTTCTACTATGCAATGTACTCAAGACAAGAATATTGAGGGGTTCATGGTAACTGTCGTCTTACCAATACCCCTACTACGAGTAAAGCATCACTGTCACTATGTGGTTCATCCGCATTAATAGTTGTTATAGATGTATATTTATTGATATATGTATGTGTAGTATTTATGTAATTAATATTTTTATATGGAAAGTAGATCTTTGTTACGAACAAAAAAATAAATCATTTTCTAACAAAACTGTAGTAAAGTTTCTGCGTTGTAACCTCGTGACCTCTATCCAGTGAACAAAATGACGGCATTATTCGGTCGGAAAGGTCATTGACTAAAAATGATGTCTTCATTGACGCGATTTTTATGACTACAAGACGTCCTTTAAAATGCTGTCATTTTGACGTATTTTTTTTTTGTTAGGACAGTCACTACTGAAAAATCAACTCTTACCTACAAAGAAAATGTAGACTTTCAATGAACAGTAACGTAGACTAGATATTCAAATACTAATAGCTACTTTATTATTATTTATAAAAAGTATCAGGAATTCTTCGGCCAAAAACATCGAGTTAATATGACTTTTCTAATAATAATATTCCATGTTCAGAAATTTCAAATTACCATCTTGCATCATGTTTTATTCCGGTAAATAAATTTATTAGAAAGTTAAGCTGTATAAAAATAAACAAGTTTTACTAGAATATATGTAGTAAATCTTAATAAACCACTTCGATACACTGCTTGTGGGGTGTCGTTATCAGATCCTCAATGTTTCAGGAGCATTTAAAAACACCGCGCGGTTATTTTTGCGAGCGACTTTGCATCATATTGACGTCACATAGACGCCATATCGACCTCAGATAGACGTCTTATCCACGTCATAACGACTTTGTATTTGGTCCCTTAGACGACATACTGTGACGTCAATTGGGTGTGATATTAGACCGCCATAATGACGTCATTTCTACGTCATGTTTGTTGGTCGGCGTACCTCAGTAGTGACCTAAAAATGTCGACATTTTGACGTCGCGATGTTTACTTGGTACTGATCAATCGGAGCATCTGATTGTCCTAGAAACATCCGTAAACGTCATTACTCTGTAAACAAAATCACTTGGGCGGAGTTCTTCTCAGAATCTTTTTTTTGGAGGAGGATCAACATACTGCTCGAATTTGGATGATTTTTTCACACTAGGTTAGCCAAGGACGAAAAATCTTTGTAGTTTTCGAAAATCGGCAGAATTGGACGGCAAAAACACGAAAAAATGAAAATCGCTCAAACTTCGTCTCTTGTCGTTTCAGAGGCTCCTGTCGTTTTCAAAATTATTTTTTGTAGGGGTTGAAAATCGGGGCTTGGAGGTTTCAAGCGGTGGGGGCAGATGTATCTAATTTGGTTTGCGGCAGTATATTTATACGCTTTTAAACCAGAGTAATTTTACGTACCAATTAGTACGTATTTCAGACATTAAAGATTTTCCCTTATAACTTACAGGAATATTTAATGACTAGACACACGGTCGGGTCGGGACGATGCGGGCAACGACCATTTTCATACATTGCCATCCTTTATAAACTGTTGACAGCGTTTCGTGCAGGGTTGTTTCGTTTTAAACATTTTGTTTTAATCAATTGTTTTAAACATGTTTTAAACATTTGCTTAGGTTTAAAACATGTTTAAATCACTTAAATTAAACAAGCGTTTTTTACCTTTATTTTCTTTATTAATATAATAAATAAAAATAGGAAATGTTCTCAAATACATTTTATAAAATAAAAAAATACATGTTTTTTTCAACCCTAGTTTCGTGAGAAGTGCAGAGTCAACCTACTTGACGTCAATTTTCTTAAAGCCTTTTTGTGCGATGCGTGTCGGAGTGCAGCTCACGGAAATTGAAATACAAACTGAAGCTGATTGTTTGAGCAACGTTCGCTTGAAAGCGACCAGTTCGTTTAATCGCTTAGTAGTATACTCTAAAAGGGTGAAACATCGTGAACCTTGAAAGCATCTATTTAGTGAACAAAGATTTAGGGATTAATTTTTTAATCGCATTTCGACATTTATACAATTTTGTTTATGGTAAATGGTCCGATAGTCAACAGTTGTTTAGGGTAGCTCAAAAATACATTTTATACATCAACTTTTCCTCACCTTTAAAATGTATTTAAAGAAACGAATACAAATATTGCATTACACATTGTTCTATGGTCTATTATTAATAACTTCGTTCTTTGCGTATCGTCTATTTGCCTTTTCAAAAGTATGAAACTTTTACTATTAGCATTTCTTTTAAATTCGGCTTCTTTGATTTTTTCTTGCTCTTGTGCCGTACCAAGTTTTTTGCAAATGTGATATACGTAGTCGTGCCATAAGTTCTGTCCCATGATAATCTCATGATAAAAATGAAACAAGATAAGATATATTTATATGAAAGATATTATTTATTCGACAACATTTTTAGAATTCATAATCAAACAGTTTTATTCAAAATGTCCCCCCTTGGCCTTCACACACTGCTTCAATCTCGCGGGCCACTCATCTATCACTGCACGCACAGCTTCCAAAGGAATAGCTGCCGCTGATCGGATCAAATCCGCTTTCAGGGACTCGATATTACGGTGGGCTTTGGAGCAGGCCAACTGCTCTAGCAGGTCCCACAACTTGTAGTCTAAAGGATTGAGGTCCGGACTCCCTGAGGGCCAATCTTCCGCAGCAATGAACTCTGGCACATTGCTTTCCAGCCAGCGCTGCGTACTCTTAGCCTTGTGAGCGGGGGCGGAATCCTGCTGGTAGACCCAGTGTTGGTTGGCAAACAATGTACCACTTAAAGGCTTGACGATAGGATCCAGTATGTCGCTCTGATAGTTTGCCGCTTTTGTTTTCATGCCCTGTTTACAGAAATGGAGCTGAGTGACCCCTTCGTAGGACACCCCCCACCAAACCATGACTGACGCAGGGTGGTGGCCTCTCTCAACTCTCGAAATGATCTCCGAAGCTTCCTGTGAACTCCTTGTATACACTTTGTCATTTTGTCGGTTGAATATTTCTTCTATGGTGAAGATTTTCTCATCCGTGAACAAAATCTTTCGGAATCCCCCAGCTGCGTACCTCTCCAAGAGCTTCTTGGATCTTGTCGCCCTGATGTGTCGCAAGGTGGCCGTAAGTCGCTGGCCCGTACGTCTTCGGTAAGCCCCTAGCCCTAGGTCTTGTTTAATGATGCGCGACATCGTCCGGACAGGAATCTTCATTTCCCTGGATAGGATCTTCTGCTTCCGGAGTGGATTCCTTTGAATCCTGGCTTTTACGGCTTTGATGGCTGCTGGAGTCCTTACTTGACGAGGTCTTCCGCTTCTTGGCCTGTCATCAACAGAGGACGTCTCATTGTACCGCTGAATGGTCCTAGACACAAATTTACGCGATATTTGAAGGCCGCGTAAGAGTTCAAAAATCTGACTAGCACTGTGATTACACTTATGTAAAGCTATCACTGCAATACGGTTCTCTGCCTTGCCCCACTCCATCGTTATGCTTCGAGAGATCAATACAAACTGAGGTATATGTAATTACCCGAAAAGCGCTTAATCAACTGACACCACAATGTAAACAATCGGACAAGTATTAACAGGTCTACACTTGTTTGAAAACGAGGGACAGAACTTATGGCATGACTACGTATAATGATATATAAGGATCCCATGCATGGGGATCTAAGGGCCGTATCGTCAGTCGTTCCTACAATTGTAGGACGCGTTTATGGCCTGCTTGATTTTCTTAGTCTTTTCTCCTCGTCAGAAGAGCTGGGGTTTTCTAGATTTCACCTGTTCGGTGTCAGCGTCAGCGCTCTCCTATTGTGAAGTTTTGACACGGTATAGTAGAAAACTATGAAAATCTAGGAGGCCATAGAGGCGTTCTACGAGGGTGGTCCCAGAAGTACCCGACCCAACGAAGAAAACAAAACTTTTGTAAAATTTTTTTTTTTATTTTATTTTATTTATTTTTCAACATAATCTCCCTTGAGCTCTATACACTTTTCCCAGCGATGTTCAATAAGTTCGATACCCTTTTTACAATAAGAACTGTCTTGCTCCTCAAAATAGCCATTAACTGCCGACATCACTTCTTCATCGTTGGAAAATCTTTGACCACTGAGCCATTTTTTCAAGTTTGGAAACAGAAAATACTCCGAGGGGGCTAAATCTGGTGAATTAGGAAGCAATTCAAACTTTAATTCGTTAATTTTGGAGATTGAAATAACGGATTTGTGAGCTGGCGCATTGTCTTGATGAAACAACACTTTCTTCTTAACCAAATGCGGCCGTTTTTGCTTAATTTCGTCGCTCAAATGTTGCAATAAGTTCGCATAATACTCGCCGTTGATAGTTTTACCTTTTTTAAGATACCTAGTCAATGAAAATTATCCCACGCGCATCCCAAAAAACGACGCCATAACCTGGCCTGCAGATGAAATGGTCTTCGCCTTCTTTGGAGCCGGCTGTCCCTTTTGAGTCCATTGTTTTGATTGTTCTTTTGTCTTGGGTGTGAAATGATTGACCCACGTTTCATACTTGGTTATGAAACGACGCAAAAATTTTGCTTTGTTACTGTGAAACTTCGCTAAACACTCAACTGAAACATCTTCACGTCACTGTTTTTGCTCGATTGTGAGCAATAGCGGCAGCCATCTTGCACACAACTTTCTAATGTCCAAATTTTCAGATAATATGCGATGAACCGCACTTTTTGAAATGCCTACTATGTCTGCTGGCTCGCGTACTTTCAGTCGATGATCATTCCGTACCACTTTGTGGATTTTCTTCACCATTTGGTCGACCACTGCGATGCTCGTCTTGGCAGCTCATACGGCCTCGTTTAAACTCTGCTACCCGATATTTTGCTGTTGTAAACGAAGGAGCAGACTCACCCAGAGTAGAATCCAGTTCAGCTTTTATATTGGTTGGGCTGAGACCTTTGAAATAAAAGTATTGTACCATACGATGACCAATTTTGTCTATTTTCACAAATTCACTGAAAACGTTCAGTGTTGATGGCTGCCAAACAAATACTAAACAACGTGGCGTCTTCAAACTTGACATATATGCTTTATAGGTTGCATACTTTCTAATACAATGATATTTTTCAAACTATCGCCATCTCTAGGTCAGGCCGGGTACTTCTGGGACCACCCTCGTACAATATTGTAGGAAGACTGATGATACGGCCCTAAGAATCAAAATTTTTCTAGCTGTTAATAGATCGTTGGGATTTGTGATACGGAATTCCAAAAAGACTACTTATAAGGAGGCAATTATTTTCAATTCCGTATTATCTAAATTAGAGTAGAATACTCGTAAAAACATGCTTAGATAATAGACGGAACTTTTTTGAGGATCTATTTACAAAACAGTCCATGGTATTTACAATTGCCCATCTTCATCAGCGCCCATATAGCAATATCCAGGGGGGATGTTTGGTTTAAAGGTTGCGCAGGAACAAAAATGGAGGGCGGTTGAGGGGGGTTGTAACTATTCAAAATGGTAGCAGAAATAATATCTTCTATGTTAAGATGTTTTGAAGAGCATTAAAAAAGCTGACACGCCACTTCTTACCCAAGGATTGGGTGTCTTATTAAGAATATTTCACTTTTAAGAAGAAGCCAGGGGGGCATATGCCCCCCCTATGGGCGGCTATAAGGGGGGCATTCGCCCATGCCTATTTTTCACATCGCTGTTATGGTTCAATAGGTGGGTACTCCAAAATGTTTTAAACGAAACGCGTACGTTTTACCACGCTACCCCACGAACTATCTCACCTCTGCAATAAATGTGTTCATGTTATAATAATCTGCGAGACTATTTTGATTTATTTAATAAAAAAAATGTTATACATCAAGCAAACATGTAAAAATATGGCATAGTGTGTTATCCCACCAAAAACTGGTAATTTGGTTCGCGGTGTATAAATAAATACCTATATATAAATGTATTGCAATCATAACGCTAGTAATAAACATCTTTACTTATAAGTACACTATACCACAGATTATAGTGATAGTCCTCTGTGCCTATACGATATAATTCTACATTGTTGATAACAATCGTGGATTCCACGAATTTAATCAGCATTTTGCGCCCAGCTAGTCATACCGCTTATTCAGCAGTGAAAAAATGTAACATGCATTAGTCATTCCATATCTCATACATTCGCTCTGTACTTCCACCCCTGGTAAGTTACGCTTCCGCATCCCCTGTACTTCGTCCATCCCTTCATCGAATCCCGAACCAGAAGCGCGTGCTGGCATCAACGCGCCTACTTAGACGAATATCGTGTTTTGTGCGCCCAGTGAATTGATTGAATGGCTGACGAGTGTTGATAGGAGCCGCATTTGCGGGTAAACGGTGGCTTATTTTGTGTTTTTCGGGCGGTTTTGGTTGTAGTGTGGATTGGTTTCGTTCGAGTGACCATAATGGGCAACATACACACCGTGGGACCGAACGAGGCGCTTATCGTATCAGGTTAGTCAAAATATAACCCTACTTTTATCATTCGTTTGATGTTTGATACTCTGATGCATTTATTTGCAGTTCGCGTTATGCGATGATCGAACAGGTCGAACTATTTTAACAGAAGGTTAAAGTTAATTGGTCTGATTATAATTGTATACAACTATTTCAGCATTTGACGTTTGCGTTATTGACCGCCCTTTATATTTTTGTACTAATATCACGATGCACGGTAAATAGTGTGTTGCAATGTTTGTTTACATCGCATTCATGCCGCAAAATCCGGTATTATGACCAAATCATTAGCATATCCGCGAAGCGAGAATCTTATCTGAATCCCATTCAGAAATAAATTGAGTACGTTCATAACAAGGGACTTTAATAGGATCGGTTGCATTAATGGATAGCTGCCAAGGGCGTACACAGTAATTTTATAAGGGGCCAAGGCACGTCAAACATTATTTTACAAGCTTTTATTTAATTTGAACGTATGTTAGTAGATATGTGTTCGACAAATCTTGCATTCAATTGAGCTGAAATTTATACACTCATTTATCTCGCGTGGCAGTACAAAATTACCGGCCGGCATTTTAAATCCAATATGGCGGAAGCTACAATATGACGATTCCTCATTTCCATAGTAACCCCTATGATATGGGTGTCAAATGAAAGGATTTGACGTGAGAAACACAATAAACAAAGAGGTTATTCTAAATCCGATATGGCGGTCGCCGCAAAATAGCGATTCACATATCTCACAGCCACCTCTCTGATACGGGTTCAAAGGAAAGAGCATGATGTGAGAAACAATAGGCAAAGTGACGTCATTCTAAATCCAATATGGCGACCGCTCCAAGATGGCGCTTATCGTCATCGGCACCCCCATGGTATAGTGTAATGGACAAAGTAATTAATTAATATTGTGCTGTATTTCTTTTTTAACTTGTTTTATTAATACACCAACCTGTATACATAATTCGTTATAGCAGTCAATAGACAATTAATTGAAAAAAACTGGAACCTGAAGGACAAAAATATATAGACAAAGCAAAACAATTATAGGAAAAAGAAGCAAAGTTCATCGAATTATAGAAAACCAACCATGTTTGTGTTGATATTTTGTGGCATAACCATTATTATCAATCACCGCCTGGCATCGTCTCGGCATAGATTGTAGAAGTTTCTTGATATAAGATTCATCAATCTGTCTCCACTTTTGCTCTAAAGCGGCAAAAAGTTCATCTGTGTTTGAATAATTTTTATCTTGTATTTGCTTATCTAAGTATTCCCATAGATTTTCAATGGGGTTTATATCGGGAGACTGTGAAGGCCATTTGAGAACTGGTATTTTTTCATCCAGAAAGAATTTCTTTGCGAGATTTGAAGTGTGCTTCGGGTCATTATCTTGCAGGAAGATTAATCCTAAGGGCATATTGTCTTCCATATAGGGTAACATGACATGCTTTAGTTTTAGTATGTCTGTGTATACAAACTTATCCATAATGCCATCTATTCTATGTAAAGGTCCCTTTCCAAACCCCGAAAAGCACCTCCAAACCATAACAGACCCGCCTCCATGTTTGACAGTGGGCATTCTACTTATAGTTTTCGTAGAAGCACTGACAATTCCTTTTGTCTCGATTTCGGTTTTTATTTGTCTTGGGGTTTTAAACGGATCTTTGGACGAAATTACTTTTATTAATCTAACTGATCTAGCATTTAGTTTTCTAGGCCAACCACTTCTCTTAGAGGCTTCCAACATACCTTTTTGTTTATATTTGTTCAATATTGCCCAAACTGCTTTACGCTCCAGCTTCAAATTTTTGGCAATGTCGACTTGACGTTGACCATCGTTGTATAACTCAATGATCTTAGTTTTCACATCGAAAAAAATTTCTGGACCACGCGGCATGGTCTTAAAATCACTGAACTTATTCCACAATACTTGGTGAACACAAACTAATCCTCTTCTGACATGAAACTGTACTAAACTAATGTTGAAAAGAATTTGTCTACATATTTTTGTCCCTCCTAAAAAAGTGCTTATTTCAGACTTGTATTGTGATCATTGCAGATAATGTAAAATCAAGGAATTTAGTTTTTCTACTAATAACGCATTTGTTTATGGAGCAATGAAGTATGAATTCGTTTTCTAAAGGTATTTAGGTAAATATTCATATTTGTCTATATAATTTTGTCCATTACTGTATGTATCAAATGAAAGAGCTTCATGAGAGGAACAAAACCAGCAAAGCTAACGCTCTTTAGGATAATTTATGTACATATACTGAAGGACGCATTCTTTATTTATTAAGTTAAATTCCATAAATACTTATTAAATAATCGTTTTACACAATAGGTCTGTACACTTAAATAGTAATATCACAGGTATACAACGTTCCTGTTCCCGTTACGTATGCGTATGATATCCCCAGTCATGCTTGATCATATCAGCTCCCTTCTCGGCGATCATGTACACGGGAGCATTGGTATGGGCAGCTGGTATCTCAGGAATGATCGATGCGTCGATGACTCTGAGCCTCTGGATGCCGTATACTCTGAGACGGGGGTCTACGACGGCCTTCTTGTCGGATTTCGGCCCCATTTTGCAGGTGCCGCTCTGATGGTAGATGGTGAACGTGAAGTACCTGGCCATGCACTCGAAGTAGGCGTCGCTGCCGAAGGTGTGATTCGAGCATTGCGGGATCGGTTTACTGTGGAGCTTGGCACCTGTTGAAAATAACAAACGGATTAGGTACAGCGTTGCCAGATTCGAGCAGGAAATTATCGTACAAACACATCAAAATTATCCTACACCTTAGGTTCTCTCATGATAAGCTTGCTGTCTATGTTTGGCTTTCTTCAAAGATTCCGCTCCTTTTCTTTTGTTTTCTGTATTCGAGAGTATCGCATCTTTTCTTGTGTTTCTCTCTTCCAGGGCAACTTGATTCGGAATCCGACATATTATCGTTATTGAATTGAAACCGGTTAAGTATCCAAAATAACTGAAAACGATCTTTTGTATTTAAGTTTCAAAAGTCATAAAAACGGGAGACGTCGCATTCATTTCATCTAATGCACATGGGTAAATAAAAATATGAACGTCATGTCAATACATAGAACGTGAGAACTGTTTGGCGGCAATTTTTCCTGTTGATGTTTGCCGAGATAGGCCGCGTAATGTACGCAACCCATTATACAGAGTGGGGTACGCGCGCATGTCTACCAAGCGGCAACACCGACAGCTGATTGCAGGTGTTAATTGAACGTAGTTAGATTGATTCAACATCTGTGAGTGAAAAAGCTCATTCGCAAAATTATCGTACATTCAGCTATTATCCTACACATATACTAAGTGACATATAAATCCGAACACCCAGTTTAAATGGTTTTATTTTAATAAAATTTTGTATAAGTACTTAATGAAGCATAATAAGTAAATGATAAAAATTTCAAAATGATTGCACTGCTTTAAAGCCCTTTGACCTTTAATAATGTGTGGATGCACCCTGATGTGCTACGCATTCTCCAACGCGCCTAGGCATGCTTCTGATCAGGTGGTCAATGTGCTCCTGTGGTATCTCATTCCAGGCAACCACCAACTCCTCTCGAAGTGCTTCTAGAGTCTGAGGAGGACGTTGCAAATTGAACAATCTCCTACCCATCATATCCCACACGTGCTCAATTGGGGATAAGTCGGGAGATCTTGGTGGCCATGGTAACAATGTGACATCATTATGTTGAAAGAAGTCTATTGTGACTCTTGCAACATGTGGTCGGGCATTATCTTGTTGGAAAGTTGGATCTGCCAGGGTGTCAAGATAGGGTAAAAGATGGGGTTCTAGAACTTCGTGGATATAACGCTGCGCGTTCATGTTACCTCTGATGAAGATTAAAGGTGACCTGGAACCATAAGCTATAGCACCCCAAACCATAACTCCAACAGTGTGATGAACATGTCTTTCAACAAAAAACTGTGGATTCCTCCTTTCACCACGTCGCCTTCTAACCCTGGCACGACCATCGTGCATGCCTAAACAAAATCGAGACTCGTCACTAAAGACAATACTGTTCCATTCCTGATCCCAGAGTGACCGTTGTCTGCACCACTCAAGGCGATTACGTCGGTGTTCTCGAGTTAAAGGCAGGACCCAGTGTGGCCGGTATGAAAACAAGCCAAAACTTCTCATTCGTCGGTAAACACTCGCATGCCAATAGGTCTTCCGTGTTCTGCAAACCATTCATTTGCAATGGACCTGGTAGTGGAGAAACGGTCCCTTAAGGCCAATAATCTTAGGCGGCGATCTTCACGGTCTGTTGTTCTACGGCGGCGTCCAGTGCCCCTTGCTCTTTGCGTACGGCCTTCTCGAAGCCATGCCTGACAACACCTAACCACAGTGTCTACACTTCTTTGCACTCTAACTGCAATTGCCCGAAAAGAAGGTCCAGCTTCCCGAAGTCCCACTATACGGCCCCTATCAAACTCACTAAGTTGACGAAATCGTACAGGTCTCCGTACTCTAGGCATCGTAAACGATCGCAAAGGATGTCAAGAACCAAAATCCGCCAACGCAACGTTGATTCTGAAATATTCATTTTTAAATTTTTTCACTTGTTATTTACAGTAAGATAAATACATTCACCAACTTTTATTAAAATTAAACCATTTAAACTGGGTGTTCGGATTTATATGTCACTTAGTATACATAGTACAATACTTGAAATTATCGTACAGAAACGATAATTATCGTACGTCTGGCAACGCTGATTAGGTATACTGTTTCTGTTCCTAGTTGGCGTTGCGTGAAAGAGAACTTTGTCATAGACGTCACAATTTACGAGAGTTGTCTCAAAAATAAGGTCCCACATATTTTCAGGCACAAGGAATTTTTTATTTGAAAAAACGAATTTAACATTCGCAACGTTGATCTTTAAGGTATTATAATGCACAATAAAATCACAAAAAATCCATTTGACAAAAAAAATTGGAAACATTGTTTAGTCATCTCGAAAAACATCGTGATAAGGATTTAGAATACCAAACAGGCGGTTGAAAAAAGAGACTGCGGAAGCGGAGTCTATGCCAACAAACCAAATACTGTAGAGCAGCTAATATTACGGAAGCGATTGAAAATATATATTCAAGATACAATCCAGTCAGTTACATATGGGCCGCCCTGTTCGTAACTAACTTTTTTCCTAGAGGGTGTAACTTAAACCAAAGACAGCCAACCACAGACACCTGTTTCGTGCTTTTTAGCAACTCATCTGCTTGGTGTAGGCTTGGTCTCTGAGACAACAAACGAAAGTATTGCAACTATTCTCTATACATAGCCACATACACAATGGTCTATGGCGCTGTCTTATTTCGACTTGTTTATGAACTGATACGACTTTGCGTGGGAAGTGTAGTCAACCTACTTGACGCCTATATTCAGCTATATGTACTTCTAAATGGATTACCCGTTAGTAACGCCACTGATCATAACATTACCGAATACAAATATTTAGCTCTCGTACACAAAACAAAATGCAATCGTGCCTGCAACCGGTTATACAAATAACTAGCTGTATGGCTGCATAAGGTCGAGCTGGTTTTTAGATCGTGTTTGCCATCATTCATTTTATGATATTTGGTGATTAAGCTAGCCATTCAACATTGTTGTTGCCGCTCAGTACAACCAACATAGGCCTAATATTCAAATGGTGAAAATCAAAATGGTTTTGGTGGAAGGCAATTCAAACTTTGCGGTATGTTTGTTGCCTCCAAAAAAAATGCGCTTGTATCATTGAACAATTGAGCTTAAAGCGGATTATGGAACCCACCTAATGCTTGCAAAGCCGGCTGTGCAGATATGTTCAGTGCCAAGTTGATTCCTTTTATCATAGTCTCCATGTCTTCCTTATACGCGAAATAGTTAGGGAATATCTTCGGCTTGGATTTGTAGTTGGAGTCTCTCAGTAGCAGTTTGCCTTTACTTTTTGGTCTCATCAACATGGGCAGGACCATGAACGTTTCTGCGTCTTCAACCATCTTGTAAACCTAAAAGGAAACAAAAGTTATGCTATCCATTTAAACTAGTTGATAGAATTCTGGCAGAAATAGTTTAGTCTTGACGAGTTAATTTTTTTCTCAGCTGGTTACTTTCATGTAATTTGGCACTAAAGGTTAAATAATACACACCTTGTCGTAGATACCATCAAGTATACCAAAATCTTTCTTCAGTGTGGGTTCGGAAACAAGAGATCCTCCTTGGTAGAGCAGTTCTATATCCGGATAGCCGTCAGGATTTTGTGGGTCTTTGAAGTCATGGAAGACAAGGACTTCACATCCTCCTAATATGAAAAAAAGGAGTTCGTTTGAAAAAAATACATGGTGTAAACGTTATGGTAGTCAAGTAATAGGGGGGGGGGGGGTCACGTCAAAACTTTTGGAACAGACCTTAGACAACATGCCATTACAACGGTGACAGAATTTGTGGTTTCTTCATGACGGGGCACCACCACACATTTTTAGAGGCGTCATTCAGTATTTGAATGAACATTGTCCGAATCGCTGTATCGGTCGAAATGCTCCTGATCCTCTAAAATGGCCAGCAAGATCTCCTGACCTCAATCCGATGGATTTCTGGTATTGGGGAAAACTTAAAGGGATGGTTTGTGGGCCTGGTCCAATAACAACTGAAGCACAACGAAAAAATGTTTATTGCGGCTGAAATAATAAATGCACAACTTCGAGGACCTAGAGTAAGAAGAATATGATTGCGATAAACTAATTTTCACCCTTGTTAATTATTTTTGATCAAACACTTCCCAAAAACTCACTGAACAAACTGAAAACTGGATAAAAGCTCGATAAACACTGTTAAACGATAACATAAATTTGCGACGTGCGAGCTGTCAGTTCAAAAAGATAATAGTAGTGAAAGTCAAATTTTTATTCATAGAGTTAACTGACAAAGATAACGATTAGGCAACACTGCATCATAAACTACGAATGGTATAGAAATTTAAGTCCAAAAACGAAAGCACCGTGTTTTCGAAAGCAATTTTCTCTCGCATAGCTAACTGTCAATTGCTGTTGAAATAGAGATGGCGGAGAGGAGTGCCTGTCTCTTTTGGTACTTGAGATATTTCATCTGCTGTGCGTGCCTCATGATCAAGCGAACTGTCAAACGTAGCTCAAATAACATTGGACAACAAATTTTAGTTTTTTAATTGTATCTTGTGGGAAAAGTGCACTTCTTTGTTAATTTTGGGGCGCTGAATCCAAAAATGACAATGAAATAAAAAAATTAGTTGCGGTTTAGAAAAAAAAAATTTTATTTTTAAGGATATATTAAAAAAAGTAACAAGATTCATATACTTATGAGAATCACTATATGCGCTGTCTTTTTGCTGTTCTTTTATGGATCGTTTCTGGAGCATATCTACCAAGAGTCCAACAGTAGTCTGCAAGCATGGAAGGATTCCACTTTCCCTCGTACCTTTTTTCCATTGTTGAAATATCCTGATGAAAACGTTCGCCGTGCTCATCACCTACGGCTCCGCAATTGTCAGGAAAAAAGTCCAGGTGTGAGTGTAGGAAATGTATCTTAAGAGACATATTACAGCCCATCTTTTGATACGATGACAGCATATTTTTGACAAGGGTTTTATAGTTGTCAGCTTTTCTATTTCCCAAGAAATTAGTGACCACCAGACGGAAATCATTCCAAGCAGTTTTTTCAATACCTGTTAAAGTGTTTTCAACCTGTGTATCTTTCAAAATATTTCGAATCTGTGGCCCAACAAAAATACCGTTTTAACCTTTGCCTCACTTAGTCTTGGAAGTTTCTGACGCAGGTATTGAAAAGCTGACCCATCTCTATCTAATGCCTTGACAAAGTTTTTCATTGGGCCCAACTTGATATGCAGTGGTGGTAATACATTTTTTTTCGAATCTACTAATGCCATATGCTGTACATTTTTTTGACCTGGCTCTAGGAATTGACGAACAGGCCAGTTTTGTCTGGTGTAATGAAGTGCCTTTGCCCGACTGTCCCATTCACACAAAAAACAGCAAAACTTTGTGTAGCCTAGCTGCAGCCTAAGTAAAAGTGCAACAACTTTCAAATCGCCACAAATATGCCATTGGTGCTCATCGTATTTTATGCATGTCAATAGGTACTTCATATTGTCATATGATTCTTTCATATGAACTGCATACCCTACAGGAAGAGATGGTACAATATTTCCAATATGCAATAACACTGCCTTTAAACTCAATGTTGAACTGTCTATAAACAATCTCCATTCTTCTGGGTTATAGTTTATATTTAAAGCCGCCAGTAAGCCGTTAATGTTACTGTAGAAAACCAAGTTATTCTCCATATTGAAAAATGGTTCTAAGTCTTTGTCGCGTTTACGAAAAACACATACCGAAACATCGTCTTCTAACAAGTTCCACTGCTGCAGTCTTGATCCAAGTATCTCTGCCTTACATTTTGGAAGTTCTAAATCTCTTACAAGATCATTTAATTCTGACTGTGTTATTTTGTGCGGTTGGTGGCATGACGTGCTCGGTATAAAATCAGGATCTCTTGACGTTGATGGCATATCTTCTTCCTGACGAATCACCCGATCGCCATGATCTGATTCGTTTTCTGATTCGCAAGTGTAGGATTCTGGGGGTTTTGGAATAGGATTTTCGTCACTGTGAGGCACAGGTCTCAACGCAGATAGTATGTTTGGGTAGTTAATAACCGATTTTTTTTTCTTGGACATACCTGTGGCTTGTCCAACACAAGGTACCATGCAAAAGTAACAATCATTAATATGATTTGTAGGCTCTCTCCAAACCATTGGGACAGCAAAGCGCATAGACCGTTTTTTGCCATTTAACCAGCTCCTCAGACTTGAAGCACATGTATTACAGCAGATGTGGGGTGCCCACTGTTTGTCTTGATCACCTAGTTTACAACCGAAATAAAGGTGATATGCCTTTGTTATTAGTGGAGTAATAGACCGTCTCTGAGACGCAAAAGTCACATCACCACACACGTAACAAAACTGATCTGGATTGTTTACACACTTTCGAGACATCTTGCATGAACGCTGTCAGCCAACTGAGGAAAAAATGGCTAATATAAAACAATATAATGTACACGTATGTATAACGTAACACAATCATGCCGATTACATCATCTTTCCTTGCCGAATATAAAAATGTAGCACGTGCATTCTTGTGAATTACAGTATATTAACACTGTCACAGCAGGAACACTTATAATTACCGTATCTCTTAAACTTGAACTAATATTGAAAAAATAAGTTTCATTCCGGTTTTAGCACATTAAAAATAGTAATATTTTGTTGATTTTATTTAGGATATTTTTTGGCTGTTGATTAGGTTTTCAATGATTTTCCAATTTTATGCGCGATTTTCTTGATTTTTCTGTCCGTAAGAACCTTTTATACAGCATTAGGAAACTAAAAAAAAAAAGATGAATGAAATCGGTAAAGTCGTTCTCAAGTTAAGGCGTGACCACGCGAAATAGGGAGTCATTTTTATGTAGATACATATAGTCATGAGGTTGTAACTACATAGACTCTTCTCTCTGCATGTAAAGCACTATCACCTCCGCAATCTCAGAACTAATACTAATCACCTGCTGTCCACATTGTAGGAATAATAGATGATCTATCTCACTTTCTCGCTAACGGAATGAATATTGTATATGTGTATCAATATTACCTGGTATAGACAGCGGTCCTTTGTGATGGTTGAAGTACATGTCCAGGTTCTCCTTGTTTATGATTTTCTCTGTCCTCAAAGAGAAAGGTTGGTTTATTATGAACGTAAGTCCTCCAACTGCTATGTGGTCCATGAGGTTGTAACCAACTTTAATGTTGCTGAGAACGGGGATGCCTACAAAATAGAAAAATAATGTATGGGGTTGTCCAAAACGAACGCAGGAAAGTAAACGCATATTAAAACAAGAAAGATTGATATTCAAATCAAGTTGGGTACTTTATTTTGAAGGTTCATTTATACCATTTATGTATGAAAAATAATATCGCTCAAATGTTCACCACGACTGGATTTACAGACGTCCACGCGATGCTCGAAATTTTCAATGACATTTTGCAACATGGTCGGTTCTATGGCATTTATCTCGGCAATGATGTTGTTTTTGAGTTCTTGGAGGGTGGCTGGTTTGTTGACGTAGACTTTGCTTTTCAAATATCCCCATAAAAAAGAAGTCCAAGGGAGTCAAATCGCACGATCTTGGTGGCCATGGCACATTTCCGAAATCACGCGATCACCGAAGAAGTACTGCAATCGATGGATATTGACGTTGGTTGTGTGGCATGTTGCACCGTCTTGTTGGAAATAAACATCGTCCATATCCATTCCTTCAAGTTGCGGCAAAAAATAGTCCTCTATCATCACGTGATATCGCTCAGAATTGACGGTAACGGCGTCCCCGGCCGCATTTTCGAAAAAGTAAGGTCAGATGATGCCTTTTGACCACAATGCACACCACCCAGTCACTTTTTGAGGATGCATCGGCTGCTCTTGATACTCACGGGGATTTTCGTTCACCCAGATGCGGCAGTTTTGCTTGTTTACCGTCCCATTCAAAGTGAAATGCGCTTCGTCGCTGAACATGATTTTTGATGAAAAATTGGCATCAATTTGGCGGTGTTCAAGGAGCCAATCTGAGAACGTTCGGCGCGAAAAATGGTCGGCCCCACGCAGATCTTGCGTCAATTGGATCTTGTAGGCGTGTACATTCAAATCCTTGTGGAGAATGCGGAGCAAACTGGTTCTCGAAATGCCCAATTCTTGGGATCGACGCGTTGTTGATTGTTTCGGATCGTCTCTCACACTCTCCTTCACAACAGCAATATTTTCCGGTGTGCGAACGCTCCTTGGCCGGCCAGAGCCTGGCAGATTTGCCACAGAACCTGTTGCCTCGAATTTACGCACCAGACGACCGATGGTTGTTTCGTTTGGGCGGTTGTTGCTACCGAAATGTTCACGAAGCGCGCGAAACGTGTTTTTTTTGCACCATTTTTGTAGTGCTCTTGAATAACTTCAATGCGGTCTTCAATCGAATACGACTCCATAGCGATCAATGGTAAACCTTCAACTAACAAAATGACATGTCGGTGACAGAAAACAAAGATGGCGTCTATGTCAAATTGACGTATACTTTCCTGCGTCCCTATTGGACAACCCTTTATAATATCATAGGCCATATAGTGTGAACTTGGATTTTTCTAAGCACAGCGACCACTCGTAAAAGTAAATAAATTGTTACTCCTGTACAATCTCGCTTTTGGGCATGTTGTGTTTTGTCTGGTCGTAAATGGATTACGAATGGGGTATAGCAACAAGTAGACCAAAGTTAACCGATTTCTTACGGTTCAAAAAATGAATGTGTGATAATAACTTCGACCCTGTCGCTTGCAAATATACTAAGTGACATATAAATCCGAACACCCAGTTTAAATGGTTTTATTTTAATAAAATTTTGTATAAGTACTTAATGAAGCATAATAAGTAAATGATAAAAAATTCAAAATGATTGCACCCTTTGACCTTTAATAATGTGTGGATGCACCCTGATGTGCTACGCATTCTCCAACGCGGCTAGGCATGCTTCTGATCAGGTGGTCAATGTCCTCCTATGGTATCTCATTCCAGGCAACCACCAACTCCTCTCGAAGTGCTTCAAGAGTCTGAGGAGGACGTTGCAAATTGAGCAATCTCCTACCCATCATATCCCACACGTGCTCAATTGGGGATAAGTCGGGAGATCTTGGTGGCCATGGTAACAATGTGACATCAAAGTTGGATCTGCCAGGGTGTCAACATAGGGTAAAAGATGGGGTTCTAGAACTTCGTGGATATAACGCTGCGCGTTCATGTTACCTCTGATGAAGATTAAAGGTGACCTGGAACCATAAGCTATAGCACCCCAAACCATAACTCCAACATGTCTGTTGAACACGTCTTTCAACAAAAAACTGTGGATTCCTCCTTTCACCACGTCGCCTTCTAACCCTGGCACGACCATCGTGCATGCCTAAACAAAATCGAGACTCGTCACTAAAGACAATACTGTTCCATTCCTGATCCCAGAATGACCGTTGTCTGCACCACTCAAGGCGATTACGTCGGTGTTCTCGAGTTAAAGGGAGGACCCAGTGTGGCCGGTATGAAAACAAGCCAAAACTTCTCATTCGTCGGTAAACACTTCGCATGCCAATAGGTCTTCCGTGTTCTGCAAACCATTCATTTGCAATGGACCTGGTAGTGGAGAAACGGTCCCTTAAGGCTAATAATCTTAGGCGGCGATCTTCACGGTCTGTTGTTCTACGGCGGCGTCCAGTGCCCCTTGCTCTTTGCGTACGGCCTTCTCGAAGCCATGCCTGACAACACCTAACCACAGTGTCTAACACTTCTTTGCACTCTAACTGCAATTGCCCGAAAAGAAAGTCCAGCTTCCCGAAGTCCCACTATACGGCCCCTATCAAACTCACTAAGTTGACGAAATCGTACAGGTCTCCGTACTCTAGGCATCGTAACCGATCGTAAAGGATGTCAAGAACCAAAATCCGCCAACGTTGATTCTTTACTGCGTCTGAAATATTCATTTTTAGAGCGTTAGTGAATTAAAAAAAAGCAGTATAAAAACCGAAATGTCCAACTGATAAGGCTGAAAATTTTTTCACTTGTTTTTACAGTAAGTACATTCACCAACTTTTATTAAAATAAAACCATTTAAACTGTGTGTTCGGATTTATATGTCACTTAGTATAAATCAATGGAGCGTACCTTTATTTATTGTTCTTTTATGTCGATAATTACGACATAACTTATCACTTACCTACTGATTTGAGATGTTTCTGTGGTCCGACTCCGCTCAGCATCAACAGCTGTGGAGAGTTGATCGCACCAGCAGATAAGATAACTTCTTTTTTCGCTTTCACCCTGTACATCTTACCGTTTCTAACGAATTCCACTCCGTACGCGACTTTAGTGCTCGGGTCGATTAAGATTTTTTTCACCATGGAGTATTTCTTCATGTGCAAGTTGGGCCTGTCTCTGATGGGATGGAGGTAAGCACGACTGGCGCTGTCGCGGACTCCATCCCTCAGGGTGACTTGCAGCCTGGACACCCCCGTCTGGATTAAAATACGTAGATTATTTATTTATTTTTAAAACAAACCGCAACGAGTAGTAGTGTGTACGAGTGATGTCTTTTAAGTTTTGCATATGGAAATAAAACAACACGGTAGGTAGTTTTAAATGACTTTATTGTTTTTCGAAGTATTTTCCACGAAGATTAATACACATTTTCGAAGCACTTATTCCAATCGTTTGCTGGCAGATCCAAAACGGCATTTTTGTTGTTTCTTCTGGTGACTGTCTGTTTTTAATTTTCGGGAAAGTATAGAAATCGTTAGGACTTAGATCGGGACTATATGGAGGATGGTCCAATAATTACACGTTTTCTTCCGTTAAATACTGCCTTGTTTTTGGGCTGTGTGCGAGCTTGCATTGTCTTGGTGGAGGATGATTCTTCTTTCGGGGTTGATTTTTCGAAGCTCGGTGATGACTTTCGGCAAACAAATGGTGGTATACAAATCCGCAGTAACAGTTCTTTGCTCATTAAGAGGAATTGTTGCAATATGACCCGCTTTTGACACAAATGTCGCGACCATCTTTTTCGAAACACTTCGAGAACGGATGACTTTTGTTGGCTTCTCTTCACCTTGGAACGCCCAAATAGCCGACGGTCGTTTATTTTCTCGTTCATAAGAGTAAATCCACGATTCATCACTACTAACAATGCTGTACACATTCTTTGAGTTTCCGGTATTGAAACGCTCAAGCGTTTTTTGACACCAATTAACCCTGGCTGCTTTCTGCTCCTCAGTCAACAGGTGGGGTATCCCACGAGAAACTAATTTTCTTACTCCTAATTCTTCATGTAAATTTTTTTGAATTGCGGTCTTTGAGATCTTCAAGGACGTCTCAATCTCGCGATATGTCACATGTCTATCTTCAATGATGAGTTTGCGCACAGCATCGACGTTTTCCTGGGTGACTGCCGTTCGTGGTGCAGCCACCCTGGATCGTCGCTAAGACTCACCCGTCCACGTTTGAATTCTCCATACCAACGGGAAATTATCGACTGATGTGGCGCTTCGTTGCCGAAAATAGACAGTAACTCAGCAAGGCATTCTTGTTGCGATAATTGTCTCTGAAAGTTGTAATAAATTATGGCGCGAAAATGTTCTCGGTTGAGTTCCATTTTTCTAATGACTGGGTGACACTTAAAAATTCACTGCAGTGAGAACACTGTTGTGAAACTTTGAATTTAAGTTTACTAAAGAGTGAGGTTAAGATTCAGTACTGACTATGCTTCTATATGCAAAACTTGAAAGACATCCCTCGTACTGTTAAAATAAATTTCTTCATTAAAAAAAATCCGATAAATATTTCGGACATACGTTACACACTGAAAATAAAAATCGTTGCTCAGCGGACACTCTCATGGACAGTATTTGTAGTACTAACGTTCGATCCGCGTTTCTATATGCAAAACTTAAAAGAAATCCCTCGTAAAAGAAAAAAAATTAGATTTTCGGTACTTATCCTGATATACAGGGTGTCCCAGAAGTCGACGTCAAGCCGAAACCGGGTGATAGGCAAAGTCATAACAGCTATCAGAAAAATATTTAAAAAAAAATTATGTATGTGTTTTGAAAATTATGGGTCTTTGAAAAAATATAGAAATTTCACACCCTAGGCAGTCTGTCAACTCCTGTTACTACAAATATTAACTTTTTTTGGATTTTATTTTTACAATGTAATGATGAATAATGCATCTTCAAACTGGTGTCTCAAGCTTACTGCCAACTTTTCTCGTTCAGGAAAAATTGCCACTTATTTCCCAACCAAGTATTCCAAAGTAAAACTTTGCTCAACTTTAACTGGCTGTACTGGAAAAAATGTACTACGAGAGTTTGACAAGTAACCTTAAAAGTTGGCGCATTTAATAAGGATTCCAAAATGGTATAACCCAGATTATTCGTTAACTTATGCACAATTTTTATTTGAGGAAAAACTGATGAAAATTTTTCAAAATTTCCTAATTAAACAGCGATTATGAAAACGCACAAGGACCCTTAAGGATAACTGTTTGCACAACAGTGGGCGTCAAAATGCTGCTGATGATGATTTACCTTTACAGCAAATGCTCAAACTGTTTTCCTTCAGCCGCAATACATGCTCGGCATCTTCTTAAAAAAGATCGGGTTATTAAACGAGCGAATCCACGGTTATTAACAAACTCAGCTGCTTCCAATAGTCTTTGCCGTAGCTCAGCTACATTTTGAATCGGCTTGAAATACACTTTTTCTTTTACAGTTCCCCAGTAAAAAAAATCTAACGGATTCAAATCTGGTGACCGGGCTGGCCACATACAGCGTGTTCAACCTCTCCTGCCCCGGGATTATGAGCCTCGAGTTGCTTTTTGTCGCAAAATGTTAGAAAGACACAGGAAAGATCCACAGTTTCTTGAAAAAATTTTATGGTCGGATGAGACCACATTTAAGAAAGATGGGTACATGAACCTGCATAACTTACACGAGTGGCACGTAGCAAACCCACATTTGATGAAAGAAGATAAATCTCAATATCGCTTCAAGATAAACCATTGGACAGGAATTTTAAATGGTAAAATAATCGGTCCGTTTGAGTTCCCAGAGACTTTGACTGCTGAAGTTTATTTGGATTTTTTGAAAAATCATGTACAAAATTTATTGGTGGACGTGCCACTGAGTATTTACAGGGACATGTGGTTTCAGCATGATGGCTGCCCAGCGCACTATGCACTCTCAGTGAGAGAGTATCTCGATCAAAACTTTCCAGGCAGATGGATAAGGCGGTCTGGTACAATACCGTGGCCAGCCCGATCACCTGATTTGAATCCTTTAGACTTTTTTACTGGGGAACTGTAAAAGAAAAAGTGTATTTCAAGCCGATTCAAAATGTAGCTGAGCTACGGCAAAGACTATTGGAAGCAGCTGAGTTTGTTAATAATCGTGGATTCGCTCGTTTAATAACCCGATCTCTTTTAAGAAGATGTCCAGCGTGTATTGCGGCTGAAGGAAAACAGTTTGAGCATTTGCTGTAAAGGTAAATCATCATCAGCAGCATTTTGACGCCCACTGTTGTGCAAACGGTTATGCTTAAGGGTCCTTGTGCGTTTTCATAATCGCTGTTTAATTAGGAAATTTTGAAAAGTTTTCATCAGTTTTTTTTCAAATAAAAATTGTGCATAAGTTAACGAGTAATCTTCTAAGTGTTATACCATTTTGGAATCGTTATTAAATGCGCCAACTTTTAAGGTTACTTGCCAAACTCTCGTAGTACATTTTTTCCAGTACAGCCAGTTAAAGTTGAGCAAAGTTTTACTTTGGAATACTTGGTTGGGAAATAAGTGGCAATTTTTCCTGAACGAGAAAAGTTGGCAGTAAGGTTGAGACACCAGTTTGAAGATGCATTATTCATCATTACATTGTAAAAATAAAATCCAAAAAAAGTTAATATTTGTAGTAACAGGAGTTGACAGACTGCCTTAGGGTGTGAAATTTCTATATCTTTTTCAAAGACCTATAATTTTCAAAACACATACATAAAATTTTTTTAAATATTTTTCTGATAGCTGTTATGACTTTGCCTATTACCCGGTTTCGGCTTGACGTCGACTTCTGTATACTGTATTCTGTCGATCGAAATATGCTTCTACCTTCCTTTCACAATATAATGACAAAATCTCATTTTCTCATTTTTCGCACTTACTGCGTTCTGGCTTATGACGGCAGTATTATACTTGCACAGAAAGTTGACAGTGGAGACACCGAAACTCTCAGAAATAGGGTTCCTTACTTTTAGGGGATCTTCCTATGAATGTATGGTAAATACGTACCTGGGTTGGTCCATTGTAATCTACGTAAGGAAGCCCGGCTTGTATGCTAGAATTAACGATGGCTTCTGCGATTGGGGTCTGATGCGGAGCATACCCAACTTGCAGGTATCCGGAAGTGCTGTGATACCTGGAGTTCTGGAATTCGGGTATAGAGAAGTTTTCTATCTTCCTGAAGTACGGTAGAACTTCTTCGTAAGACCTGGAAAAAAATCTCGTCAAGTAGGTTGACTCTACACTTGATTATGTTAGCTCCCCTTAGAAAATAAGCTAACTGCGATCATGTGCAACAAAGGAATTAAACTGGTCAAGTCAGTCAAAAAATTTAGTATCAGTGATATACGAGGGTGGTCCCAGAAGTACCCGGCCTGACCTAGAGATGGCAATAGTTGTTTGAAAAATATCATTGTATTAGAAAGTATGCAACCTATAAAGCATATGTACGCAAATAGCAAGGGGAACGGGACGCCGCCGTAGAACAACAGACCGTGACGATCGCCGCCTAAGATTATTGGTCTTAAGGGACCGTTTCTCCACTACCAGGTCCATTGCAAATGAATGGTTTGCAGAACACGGAAGACCTATTGGTATGCGAAGTGTTTACCGACGGATGAGAAGTTTTGGCTTGTTTTCATACCGGCCACACTGGGTCCTCCCTTTAACTCGAGAACACCGACGCAATCGCCTTGAGTGGTGCAGACAACGGTCACTCTGGGATCAGGAATGGAACAGTATTGTCTTTAGTGACGAGTCTCGATTTTGTTTAGGCATGCACGATGAAAGGAGGAATCCACAGTTTTTTATTGAAAGACATGTTCATCACACTGTTGGAGTTATGGTTTGGGGTGCTATAGCTTATGGTTCCAGGTCACCTTTAATCTTCATCAGAGGTAACATTATCGCGCAGCGTTATATCCACGAAGTTCTAGAACCCCATCTTTTACCCTGTCTTGACACCTTGGCAGATCCAACTTTCCAACAAGATAATGCCCGACCACATGTTGCAAGAGTCACAATAGACTTCTTTCAACATAATGATGTCACATTGTTACCATGGCCACCAAGATCTCCCGACTTATCCCCAATTGAGCACGTGTGGGATATGATGGGTAGGAGATTGCTCAATTTGCAACGTCCTCCTAAGACTCTAGAAGCACTTCGAGAGGAGTTGGTGGTTGCCTGGAATGAGATACCACAGGAGGACATTGACCACCTGATCAGAAGCATGCCTAGGCGCGTTGGAGAATGCGTAGCACATCAGTGTGCATCCACACATTATTAAAGGTCAAAGGGCTTTAAAGCAGTGCAATCATTTTGAAATTTTTAACATTTACTTATTATGCTTCATTAAGTACTTATACAAAATTTTATTAAAATAAAACCATTTAAACTGGGTTTTCGGATTTATATGTCACTTAGTATAGTTTTATAAGCCAACAGTTTGGATTGCTTTCAAAACGCTGCACATAGTTAAATCTTTTAACATTCACAAACTATGTTTTGGAATCCTTGGAGGAAGGTTATTCTGTTCACCTAGTTTATACGGATTTTTCTAAATCATTCGATAAGGTCAACCATGAGATCTTGATTATAAAGTTACATTGTCTAGGAATTTGCGGGGATCTTTTATTATGGCTGAAGTCTTAACTCACTGACCGAAAACAAATAGTGCGTTTACAAAGCATTCAATCAAATTAGATTAATGTGCCATCTGAAGTACCTCAAGGTTCCCATCTGGGTCCTCTTTTTTTCAATATGTACGTGAATGATATTATATACTGTTTTAAGTCTGTTAGTTTTCTAATGTTTGCAGATGATTTGAAATTATTCTTAAAAATCAAATATAATAATGATTGTTCAAATATCCTAAATGATTTGGATTCATCAAGTCTCTAGTGTTAAATGAATCGAATGGAACTTAATGTCATTTAATGGTCTTCAGCCCTGACAGGGACCCCATTGATCATACTTATACCATGAAAGGTTGTCCTCTAAAGAGTGTATCCCAGGTTAGGGATGTAAGGGTAATTCTTGACCCAAAAATTTCCTTTATTACCCATATGAATATGATTGTTGTTTCTAAATCTCTTCAACTGTTGGGATTTATAAAACGATGTGCTAAGAATTTTCATAATATTCAGTCATTTAAAACGTTGTTTTGTTCTTTGGTGAGGTCCCAACTATAATGTTCATATTCAGGCAATTGAGAGAGTGCAACATAAATTCTTAAGATTCATTTCATTCAAACAAAACATTATCGTTGATGATATCTATTCCGTCATTGAAAGCTCTCTCAATATCTCAACCCTTCAGTTAAGACGGAATCAGAGGGACCTGTCACTATTTTATAATATTTTGCACTCTCTTAGTTTTGAAAAATATTAATCTCCATGTGCCTTCTCGTCAAACAAGACAAAATCAACCAGTCCATGTGAGATCATTGCGTAATAATTATGCTAGTAATTCCTTCCTGTCTAGATTTTCAAGGTTAGCAAATCAGTATTCTAATAAGTTGGATTTCTTCAGAAGTCAGAAAACATTCAAAACTCAATTAGATTCCTTTCTTTAATATTTAATATTTGATTTCCCCATATATTTGAATTTTAACTAAATTCGATTCAATTTCGAAATGATCTGGAAGTGTTTTTGATTGTTTTAAGTGTTAAATATCTAAGTCAAACTAGAGTTAGGTGTACATTAGATTTTCTATGTTGTACTTTAATTGGGCAGTCGCTCGTTGACAAATAAATATAAAACATAAATTTTTTGACAAGGGAGACCCCAGGCCCCCGTCACTGGCTAGACTAGAGACTATTCTTAAGTTTTTTTTTTTTTTTTTTTGGCTTTAGGACTAAGCCATGCAGCCAGAAACTAGGTTGGTATATAAATATATCTAATTATGGACAAACACACGACGTCACAACATCCATGGCGAAGGCGAGATTCGAACTCGCGACCCGGCCGGCCGGCTGATCAGTAGCACGACACACGCGGACAACCGAGGTCCCCTATTCTTAAGTTAGTATAAAGCTCAGTAAACAGCTATCAACGAGACTCTCTGGACTTGATCGGCTTAGAGTAAGCTGTGATTTTCTTAGAATTGACCACTTACCATCCCGTATTTCCCATCTTAGCCCAATTGTCGTAATCCCTACGATTGCCCCTAGTGTAGATCATGTAATTGAGCACACTGGAGCCGCCGACCACTTTTCCTCTAGGCCAGTTGCACTGTTGACCATCCATGCCTACGCAGAATTTGTCGCTGGGCTCCGTTTTGTATGCCCAGTTGGACTCTGTAAATTGCAAGAAGTTGGCCATGATCGGGACATCCATGATGTAGTTCTCCGTGCGACCTGTGATTTATAACATAATTGGTTAATTTGAGAGAAAAAAACGCGTTTTAATAAATTTGTAATTTGTTCCGGGTTATGATTGGCGACTAAAATGCAACAAGTTTCATCCTATGTAAGGTCGAAAATCAATAATTTTCGATAAATTCACTTCCTACGTTTTTGGACTAATTGTATGTGCCTGTTTGACTGACCTGATTCATTGTACAGGTTCGTAACTAATTTTTCTCTCAAAAGGTTTAACTTGTGCCGAACTCAATATTTCACGGCGTTGCGTAGGCAGTGCGGAGTCGACTTACTTGACGCGTTTTTTTTTTATTTTTTTTAAATCACCCGAGGCTGAGATTTCAGTCTAAAAAATAAATCAGCGGTGCAAGAAATGCGGGAGGACTTAATCGATTTTCCTAGATTGTACTTACATGAAATACACAAACAATAAAATTGCTTTCTGCAAATGACAAAAAAACTTGCCCGTATAGTTCAAGTATAACGTAAGCAGATTTATTACAATTACGAGCCATTCAACATCATGGTGCTCTAAATTTTGAATAATGCACATTAGTTCATTAGCACGACGAGCAGGTCTAACTTTCCTATCAGTGTGCGTGTTTACTTTTTTATGGATATTACTTAAGTGTAGAGCTAAATTGACTGGAAGATTAGGAAATTGCCCTCCTTCATCCAAAACCAAGTCATCAACTGTTTGTTTTACTTTCACAGGTGGTGGAAGAAACCTATTGTCTAGTAATCTAAATAGGCCACTTCTTGGACGACATCATTCTGTATTTCTACATTTTACAATTTGAAGCAAGTATTGGCTCTTACGCACATGTTCTGAATACCATTTAATGTCTGGAAAATCAGGAAGATCTTGTTCACCTGCCCCAACATATTTTGCATTAACATTATAGCCATTACTTTCCATTGAACTCCATACTTCAGCTAATACATTTCCTGCAAATTCGAAATTAGATCTTTCTAACTGTTCATCAATTGTAACACCACGATCATCCAAATGAGACCCAAAATGGTCATGATTCAATATTAAACCAGCCAGTTCCCGACTAAGAGGAGCCATTCTGCGCTCTACTCTGTTATACGCACTTCTTCCAGGAGCTTTGCTAGCTAAAAACAATGCATCGAGATCATGTCGCTTAAAGTGTTGTATAGCAAATCCTATGACTTTTTGATAACGTGGTTTTTCATCTGGCCCTCCATCAACCGTCATGATTACCACTGGTTTTACTAGTCCATGGTCAGTTTTATCTAATGGTCGAAACTCTTCAAGTTCGAAAAGTGTCTCGAAATCCTGAGCATGAGTATTAGCAGCAGATGAACTATGCTTTCCACTTCGAATAGCGATGTATGTTGGTCCAGAATATCCAACGGCTTGCGGTTGTCCTAGCATATTGGAAGTGATTTTGATACCAGCATAAACAGATGGTATTAATTTATGACGCTCAGCGATTACCCAATCGTGATCAGGCAATTTGATTCTATATTCCATGTGCATTAGAAGAGGTGCTTGCTTATTTGCCGCAGTTACGCCAATAGGGACTCGAGCTTTATCATCTTTAGATATGAAAAATACTTGGTCTGGCCCAAGTTTGGATGCTATGTTCTCTAAATAATGGATGGATGTTTCAGCGAACCTGCTAAGTGGCTCTTGTATGTGTAGATTTTTTTCGAGTAGAGCAATCTTATTTTTCATAGCTTCCTGAGGAGGTTTTGCTCTCTGTTTATCAGTATTTTCATTAATTTCGCATTGCTGTTGTGATTTGTTATCGGGTTTTATTTTATCTTCTTCCTCTTTTTTAATATTTGAAGCTGACTGTATAATTTGTGTTTTTTCTGCAGGTTTACAGGTTGCCTAAAAATGAAAACTTTCTATGGCTTCTAAAGATTCTCTTATTAAGCTACATAAATACAAAGTGGCAATATATATGGTAAATACAAAACCCTAAGGTTCCGGCCTTGCACCCTCACTCCACCCATAAAGGAGGCTTTATTAAGCAACGCGGGCAGGGCACATTCGAAAGTAGCTGCCTTAGTAAAACTGACTTAGCGGTCGGCCTAATGTTAAGTATGTAAGATCAATACATTTTTATTGACAATTCAAAAACGGTTTTTAAAGGTTTTGTCTATACCTGGCATTCTACACTTACCTGCTTCAACAAGCAGCACATTCCAATCTGGATTTTCGCTGAGCCTATTGGCGACCACACATCCTGCGGTACCAGAACCTACGACGATGAAGTCGTACTGTTTCAGCATCCTGTCCTCTGGAATGTCCGCTGGTTCCGTGACGAACTGCCTCTCTCCTTCCTGGATCAGTCGGATCATGCCCTCCAGCAGGGACTCCTGGCTGGTTAGTGTGATTACCGCCAGCAGTATGGCGGATAGTAGGATGCGCATATTTCTGGAACGAGAGAATAGTCATGTTTCCATTATAATGGGTGATTTTTTTGCTAGTATCTTTTTGGCAACACTGTATTTGACAGATGACGCGTGAATCGTGTCTTGTGTCATTGTCAAACTTGTTCAGTTTGGTCTATAATTTAACCTTGAATCGACTTACGAACGAACAACGCTTGCAAATTATTGAATTTTGCTCGGTTAAGAGAGTGCATCGAGCACTGCTTCCAATTTATGGGCAATTTGGTCGGCCTACTGAGGGAGCTATTCGGAAGCTTGTGACTAAATTTCGAACCCAGTTTACATTATTGGACATTAAACCACCAACACGCAGACGTAGAGTGAGGACTGAAGAAAATATTGCGGCTGTATCCGCCAGTGTTAGTGATGACCGTGAAATGTCGATTCGCCGCCGTTCGCAGCAATTGGGCCTCTGTTACTCCACTACGTGGAAAATTTTGTGATAGGATTTGGGTGTAAAACCTTATAAGATACAGCTGGTGCAAGAATTGAAGCCACACGACCTCCCACAACGTTTCCAATTTGGTGAATGGGCGCCGGCTAAGTTGGAGGAAGATCCACATTTTTATCGAAAAATTGTGTTCAGCGACGAAGCTCATTTCTGGTTGAATGGGTACGTTAACAAGCAAAATTGCCCCATCTGGAGTGAAGACCAGCCAGAAGCATTGCAAGACCTACCAATGCATCCCGAAAAAATCACTGTTTGGTGTGGATTATGGGCCGGTGGCATCGTCGGGCCGTACTTCTTCAAAGACGACAATGGCCGGAACGTAACTGTGAAAGGCGAGCGCTACCGTGCGATGATAACAAACTTTTTTTTGCCCAAAATGTAAGAGCTGGACTTGGCTGGACATGGACAGGGATAAACCAGCAACGATTGACGCACTGGAAGCCAATATTGAAGCATTTATTCGTGAGATACCGGCCGATATGTTGGAGAGAGTGTGCCAAAATTGGACCTTGCGCATGGGCCATCTAAAGCGGAGCCGCGGCCAACATTTACATGTAAATAATCTTTAAACATTAAATTATATCGACCGTTCTATCGACTCAAATAAAGATTTAATCGTTTTTTCGAATTTTTTGTGTTTTTTTTGAAAATCAAATCCTATACCTCATAAAAAATCACCCGTTAGATGCAGCTTCAGGTTTTAACCGATAATGATTAGAACAAATATACAGTACATTTTCCCGAAATCGCGAAAAGTTGGTCTGTCTCCCTGTCTGTCCGCTAATTATCTGTCACTTTCTATAATTTGGAAAGTACCGCTCGGAATTTGACGAAATTTTTACACAACTTTTTACACTAGTTTACTTGGTATGGAGTAAGGAATGAGTCAAGTGATTTCAAAAGGCGGAAACGAATAGTGGCTAGGTAGGTTCACTTAGGTAGGACGAATTTTCGACCTCTACATATAGAACTATACAGGGTGATTAGCAAGTCGTGATCAAAAATAAAACATCATACACAGGACCGCATTCAAGGGAGTCTTATATGTAACATTCTTTCCACGGGAACGACTTGCGAATCACCCTGTATATCTTGCGGCCGAAGAAGAAGTCAGCCACACCCATCTGCAAAGCTTCTCTGGGAGGCTTGCGGAAGAGGACAGAATACTGTAGCTGATCGAAAGCTTTCGGGGTGTCAAGAGCAAAGAGATGAGCCTGAATATGAGACTGGATAAGTTTGTGGTAAGCTAGGAGGTCTACTGTTGGTCGCTGGAAACCAGCATGTAGTGGTAACTGGAGATTTTATTGTTAAATTTGGTAGCAATGATGAGCGGGCAAACCAAGTTATTGATGTGTTTAGCTGTTATGGAATGCAACATATGATCAGGGACAGTACAAGAGGCTCGCATTGCTTGGATAACATTTTTTCTCAAAACGAATATCTTTGATGCTTACTTGTCGGATCATCTGGGGATCGAGTTTTGTTGTTTCCAACCTAGTAAAAAAAACAGCTTCAAAAGGGTTAGTTATCGGCCAATTACTGATACTGGTCTTTTTATACTTTACAGCAGCTTGGAAAGTACTGGCTGGCAGTTTGTAAATGATGCAAATCTAAACGTGGAGTTGAAGTTTGAGCTGTTCATACGTGTTGTGACCGATGCGGTGGGTGAATGTCTACCAGAGAAAACACGCGTTTTCCAAAATAAACAGAAACAAGTCCAATGGTTTGACAATGAGTTACGTGGCATGCGCGATCACTTAACTTTCTTGATAGAATTGCACAAAATCGATTCATCAACAGTAACTAAATCAGAAATAAATTGCCTGAAATCCAAGTACAGAGCTGAAATAGTAAAACGTAAGCAAGATGCACACGATGTGTATATGAACTCATCGAATAATAAACAGCAAGCGATGTAGACTATTATAAAAAAGTATGCAGCTCCTGTTAATAAAAAAATTACCACAACACTAAACGCTAACCAGTTTAATTCATTTTTCACCACCGTTGTTAATAACCTTTTAGAAAGCTTACCGTCACATGGCACTTCACCACTAAGCTATATGGATAATCATAGCAGAAATAATCAATTTTCTTTTCGCGATGTTACATACAATGAAGTTAGGGATGTGATTAATTCTATTAAAAACTCTAAAAGCACCGACGAATATAAACTTAATAGTAAAATTGTGAAATCGATGTTAAACGTAATTATTTACCCGCTTACCAAGCTTATCAATATGTGTTTAGAATCAAATATTTTCCCCGCAGCTCTAAAAATATCCAGGGAATTCCTATATACAGGGTTATCCAAATTAAGTAGTAACTTTGTTATTAGTGAAAATACAAAGTTGTTTGAATTAGCAAACTAGTAGCATTCTTAACGCTGGTAAAAATGAGAAATAAAAAAAAACAATTGAGAGTCGTTATTTTGATTTTTTTCAGTAAAATAACATTTTTTTAAATGGAAACCCCTGTATATTATATTTTTTTCTGTTAAAGCATCAAATTTTAAACAAAAAAGTTCATAATGACTTTTCCGCTAAAGTCAAAAATAAAGTCAAAATAACGATAAATATTTTTAATTATTTGCAGTATTATAATATTAAGACGGCTATGAAAACAACATGGCGTTCGCGATTTGACAGCATTAGGATAAGCGACAAATTGTTAAACTGGACATACTCGCAACTAGAAGGCTTTGGAAAACAATGATAAAATCAAATAATGTCAAACATTAGTGTAAATACTTGTTTATAAGCTTTATTGTGTCATTAATTTAAAGAAAAATGTTCTCCCATGAAGAAAAGTGTGATATGTTAGATTGCTATTTAGTGTGCAGAAAATCCTCCTTGAGAGCAAGAGAATACTACAGTGAATTATATCCCGCTCGCATTCAACCGTATGAACGATATTTTCTGAGACTTTATCGAAAATTTAGGGGCAACGAAAATGTTTTTGCTAAAACAAGGGCAAAAAAAGAATTCATAATAAGCGAGGCCACGGAAATTGCAGTTATTGGATATTTTGAAGCTTATCGTGGGAATTCAATAGCAGATATTCTCAAGGACTCTAATTTCAGTTATGGTACTGTTCAAAGGATTTTAAAAAAATACAAATTTATTCCGTATAAGTACCGACCAGTTCAAACGCTTTTGGCAGGGGATCCAGAGAGAAGACTTGTTTTTGCCATTGGTATCTTAGCTTCTGTCGCCAAAATGTAAATAACTTTCGTTACCTTTTATGGACAGATGAATCAAATTTTTCAAATTCTGGAATGTTTAATAGAAAAAAAGCGAAAGAATTTGAAACGCTTATCACGATGTTTTTACTACAATTTTATTCAGTTTGCGCACAGCATCGACGTTTTCCTGGGTGACTGCCCTTTTTGGTGCGTCCACCCTGGGATCGTCGCTAAGACTCACCCGTCTACGTTTGAATTGTCCACACAAAACAGACAGTAACTCAGCAAGGCATTCTGGTTGCGATAATTGTCTCTGAAAGTTGTAATAAGTTATGGCACGAAAATGTTCTCGGTTGCATTCCATTTTTCTAATGACTTGGTGACACTTAAACATTCACTGTAGTGAGAACACTGCACGTATTGTTGTGAAACTTTGAATTTAAGTTTACTAAAGAGTGAGGTTAAGATTCACTACTGACGTTCGATTCGCGCGGCCTACTATGTTTCTATATGCAAAACTTAAAAGACATCCCTCGTAATTTTACTTACAGAGCGGTCCATCTTTAGATGAGCTAGACCTCATGTTGACGCTATAACTGAAAAGAGGCCGGTTTTATTTGCTTTTTTCTCGTCAGCACTGACGGTACCGGTCGGGGCTGGTTGCCGGTTGGCAGGACACCAGCTTCCACTGTGTGTTCGTCCTTACTGTCTTACGCCTGAAATTTACTTCCCGTATAGTGTCCACGGTGGAGTTGGCAAGTACTCCTGCTTAGCTTTGGAGTCTGTTACAATCGGCCCATCTTGGCATGTTTTCACTTCCATTGCAAAAACTTCGTGCCGACTGTATTTTATGCTAATTGACTATACATATACAGTCGAACCTTCATACGGTATAATAGAACGGTTGCGGCTTTCTTTAATTGTGCAATGTAATTATACATTTACACGGCATATTAGCACAATATTAAAGTATGTTTGTATACGGAAAATCGAAAGATGAAGGTCAAGAACGAATTGATGCCTACATGATAGGTTGGAAATATTGATGGGTATTCAAGGTGAATTTTAAGGTTTGTTTGCATTTAGTTATTAAGTTTTTTTATAGCGAATTAGTGAATCCAAAACCAGCTAAGGTAAAGGAACCTACGGTTAATCTTTCAGATACATGGAGTTTACAAAATATGTCGTAAATTTCCCGCTAAAAAACCCCGAAGAATTATAGTGGGAGTGTCGGTCTTCTTGATCGTTTTCTGAATGAGACTGTAATTTAAAGAATTTGTCCGTATAAGTAACCAATTGCGGACTGATACAGTGCTTTTCTTTAATGTCCCCCTCCCCTTTGATTTTA